GTTGCTGAGGTCTATATGGCAAGGCCAGAGAGCACTTGAAAAATCATATGATGGACTCCATCAGCCTTTCCGCTGAAAAATATAATGAGAATTTGGCAGAAATAGCTGGATGCAAGGGATTTTCAATTAACTTGCTTTCCTGTTTCCCCCCAACGACTGAGTCTTAACAATGCTTGCAATGTAGCTCTATGGCAGGGGTGTCCAAACTACAGCCTGGGGGCCAACTGTGGTCCGTTGTCAATTTTGAAATGGCCCTCAGCAAATTCTAAAAGTACAATGATATATGGCCCACAAACTTGTGCTTGTCTTATGTTGTACTTCTTAAATATATATGTACAAATATATTACACAGTATTCATGTGTTAATAAGTCTATTCAGCGAATCTTAGTTGATAAAAAAATCCCAATCATTTAATTACATAGTAAGCTTGAAATATACCCTTCATATTTCCCCTTATTATAAGCAATCTGAGGCTTCTGTTATATATATATATTGAAAGCTGTGATGAAGGCTATTTTTTTCTTAAAGCATATTCAAGTATCAAGCATAATTTGCCTACATTTGATAGATTTAGCTAGCTTAAAACTTAACTAATGAGGCAATATACCTCACCTCTAGTGAGGGGCCCAGCCATTAGTACATTTGTCTGTATGTGGCCCACAGTAAAAAAAGTTTGGACACCCCTGCTCTATAATAATAATAATAATATTAATGGGTTTCATTTGTAATGCGCTTCATATTTGAGGTGCTCCAAGCAGTGAGCATGGAACAATATAAAACAGTACACAACATGGTAGAATGAATACTAGTAATTGCTCTATCGCAATGTCAGTCTGTTGTTTCTGTGGTTTTGCAAGATTGTTCGAATTAATAAGCAGCCCCGTGCGTATTGTAGGAAAGCAAGACAATAAATGGCAAAGATATGTAGAAAATAAACGTATTTGAGATAAGTCCAAAACAAAGGTTATGTGGGAGAAAATACGTCCAGCTAAACGTAATTGAGAATGCAGTTTAGTTCTGTGGGAACTTAATTTTGAGGAGACAGGGTTGCACACAGCACAATTAGAATTTGGAACAGAAATGTATTGTTTCCAGGTGATGACTGCTACTGACCTGGTGTGACTCACTTTTTTTATAGAGCCAGTTTGATGTTGATGTTTTTAGTTTTGAGTGAAATATATCATCAGCTGAAAATGTGGTTCACAAATTTATTTTCAGTCCTTATTACTTGAGTAGTTACTTACATTAACTTTAGCACAATAATCATGTGAAAGATACATTTGTAAAAACACTGCAAACCTGATTAGGTTTACTTTGTGCTAATAAGAAAATCATCAAGATATGAAGCTTACCAAGATGGTGAACATACAGTATGCTCGCTTGTTTTTGTAGTTCCCCTCTTCTTTTATCGTACATTTAAAAACTAAAAACTTTACATTTTTTCAATAAATACAGCATACAGTATGTTGGCTTTAACTGATATCTTGTTATATTGCAGATCTGACTTACAGTAAGAGATGATCACATTCCCAATATTCGGTAATGAAACAAAGCTCTTTCTTGTGCACATACCAACTGCAAAACAATTAACAGCACACAGCGCAAAAAACAGCAACAAACCAAAGACCAACAAGTCAAAGAGACAACAGTATTTTTTTTAATGACCATTCACTGGTGAGGCCATGTGAATACATGTTTTTCAAGTTAAGACTGGATGAGTAGCATTTCTGGAGACATGAACGTCTCCCAGCCATTAAGCTGCCTTTAAGAGAACAACAGAACACAGTGTGCTTCTACTGTACTGTATTTACTCAACTGGGGATACAAAAGGCTTATCTTACAACAACGTAAATTGACAGTTGTGCTTGAGGAGGCATTATTTATTCAATTTCACAACTTTATATTTTCTCTGAGGGAACAGTCTTGCATAAACACAATGTTCTCTTTGTTAAAAAAAACATCTGTTACATTTGTATACAAGTGAAGTTTGGGGGACGATCGGACCCATGTCCATTGGAGTTACAGCGACATCGTGTTTTATGGCGAGGGATGCGTTTCCATGGAAACGGCATATTATGACACCCCATAATTGACATAGAGCTGTTGAGGGCCGGACCATTAACCATTATCTGAAGTCTGGTGCTGTTTTAGACCATTTTCATAGGTATCACAACAACATCGTGTTTTATGGCGAGGGATGCGTTTTCATGGAAACGGCATATGGTGAGATCTCAGATTTGGCGTAGAGCTGTTGAGGCATGTGTGGGGGAAACTTCTGTGTAGCAATGCAGTGGGAGTCACCGACTCAGGAAGGAGACACGGGGAAAGCTGGAGCTTTGATGTCAAACACTGATGGTTTATTTAGGAGCTTCGGCCGGAGAATTCACAAAACAAATCTGGAGTCAGAGGTTCTGACTGCACGGTAGAGTTGCCACGTCAATTCTGAAGAGCCTCTCTCTCGATAGACCTTTTAACTGGTTCAGAGAGAGTAATCAACATATTTGGGGAGATAGACTAAACAGCTGGGAACACTGAATCACTTGCGTCCGACGCTTATGGCCTCGAAGATTTCACACCTTGGAGTCCACAAACCCCAAGAAGGAAGTGTTCCAGCGTACCCACAACAATAAACCATTTGTGACCGAGAGTTGCCCGGTCATAAACTGGTAACAACAACATATGGCTGAAGCAGCCCCTTCCTAAAGGGAGATAACAGACGTCAGGGTTGGTCATAAACGTCAAAGGGCAAAAGGTGGATATCTAGGAGAATTATTCCCTAACAGCATGGACCGGTGATATACAAGTGAAGATTGGGGGACGATTGGACCGTGTCCATTGGAGTTACAGCGACATCGTGTTTTATGGCGAGGGATGCGTTGCCATAGTAACACTACATTACGTAACATCAGATTTGATGTAGAGCTGTTCAGGGCCACAGTGACCATCACGTGATGTTTGGTGGCGTTCTGAGCATGTCAGTTGGAGTTATGGCATCATCGTGTTCCATCACACAGGTGTTTATGTTTGAGCTAACGACGTTGTGACACACCTGTGCTTGAGCCCAGAGATCAAAGGTTTCCATGGTGATGTGCAGTAATCAGTGAGAGGAGAGCCTTTCCATTGTTCTGAATGAGAGATAAACCTCTTACATGTGAACGTTTTGTTGAAGAACCGTAACAGATATTGGTGAAATTTCAACGCGTGAAGCATCTCAAGGACCCTGAGCATCTGAAGTGTGCTTTTTGTATACTTTCGGGTCAATAATGTGGCCTTTTTGGTAGATTAACTAAAGGTGTGCAGCTGCTGCTGTGAGGAAAGATCAGCCTGAATTTACAATGGTTCTTAATAGCCGCGTTCACACCGCAGTACTTTTCCCACTTTAGTTCCGATATAGTTCCGAAATGTCGCGTTCACACCAAAAAGAGCCGGAACCCCCTTTTCCTATGGGGTAAAAAGGTTCCTATGTCTGATTGGCTGGGCGGAATGCAAACCACGCCCCGTAAAACTCCCAAAAAGTTTTGTGAAGCCGCCATTTTATTATCCTCGCATTAGCATTATTAGCATTAGCCCAGTGCACAAACGCAGAGAGACTAACTTATGGTAACACAAAAGAAAACATGGGAGCGGTGGAGATGAGGAGGTGTCGGCGTTCTGGCGATTTACTCGGAAGGCTTCAATCTGGTCAACTCCCAGATTTAGTCTGTATTTGTTTTGTTGCACTGATAAAAAAAAGAGTAATGCAGACATTTGCAAAGGGGTAAGGTTAGAGTCACATTGACTGAAGGGCTGTAACTGACCATTATTTTCCTTGTTCAATCTACCGACAATATTCTTGATTTAAATGTCTTGACAAATGACCAAAAGACATTTAGTTAAATATTATTAGCAATGTTTGATCATGATTAATCAATTAAAAAAAATCGTTTAGTTGACTGATCAGCAGGTCTATATCATTTTCAACTGATATTACTGCCTGTCAAGTACATAGGCCTATTCCAAATGTGTGTTACTCCAATACATTTTCTGACAGCAAACATCAGTAGTTCATTTTTAGATTAAGATTTTACATTTAAAACATTTACAAGCTTATAAAATATAATGTACAACTTTTGGTTTCCAATCTATTCGGCTTTAAATTATTTTCAAAAAGAAGGTGTCTGGTCTGGGCTTCAGATCCTTCTGAACTTATCATATGGTATTATTTTAATAACTATTAGAAGTAAAACTATCCAGAAATAGGAAAAAAAGTCCATAATGTGAGTAGTACTAATGTGTATTTTGTAGTAAAAAGTAGTTAATACGAACACATTTTTTATAGGACTTTACTTGTATTTGTGTATTTTAAAATTGTTGAACTGGTACTTTTATTTTGTTAAATAATGTACGCACTTGTTCCATTTATGAGCACAGTGCAGTGATGAAGCTCATTTGTTATTCATTGCTACCCTCTAGTGTTCAAAAGGAGGAAAAACAATAAAACCTGCAGAGGGATGCTCTTGTTCTCTGTTGACTATTTATTTGTGTGCACTGCGCTTGATCATTATGTACATCCCATGTATTGGTAAACAGAACTGAAAAGGAACACATGAACAGAATTTTTTACACAGTTTAGTAATACTTACAGCAGACAGGCAAACACATAACGTACAGTAGTCTGTGTCCAAATCGGATCACTTCCATACGCACCACAATTTCAAACAACACACATCCACTGACTACAATATAGAGCTTAGCTTTTTAACATAGCCGATAGATTGCAGGTAAAGAGTTCAGTCAGCGAGGGAGCTTATGAGGGTTATTTCACATGTAGTTCCTCAGTGTAAATAGAGCACAGAAGCACACACTACACACTTCCTGCGTCTGGTCAAGCAGTAGCCTTGAGTTCAGGGTCCAACATTTTCACCTTGAGACTCAGAGTCTTGTTCAGCGATGTATTTCAGCCAAAAAGCTCTGCCATGTAATCCATTCTGGGTCCCAAACCCAGTGGAAGAAACAGCACTTTAGAAGTCATACTTTATTTCCAGTGTTCAGTATTGAGTCAAAGTCCGAAACACACATGAACAAACTTGGAGTCCTGGGTATGAATGAAGTCAAACCAAGGGAGATAAACCACATGACGGTTAAAAAGGATTTCCAAAACAGAGAGTATGAAAACAGTAATGATATAAAGAGTGGTTTATGAACATGTCTCGGTAGATATTCTGCCTTATTAGCTTTTGTGAAAATTGAGTTTAAACAGGGGGTTACAGTAGAGCTCTGTCAATCACTCGAAGCTGTAAGGTAAGGATGTTGTAAATAAAATGTCAGAGAAATTGAGAATTGATTCAGTTTCAACTTACAATGAGTACATAAGTATTCTCTATCTTGCATATGTTTGCCAATTGCCGATGGACTTAATTTCAGAACCTTATAATACTTTCTACACAAAATGACAACACCAGTATTACAGTTTTTATCGTACAGAGGAACAATACCATCAGTATATTATTCAAACTATATGGAGAGAATTTAATCTGTTTTAGATTCAATCAATCAATTCAACTATTAAAAAATGCAACATTTTCTGTTACCTTTGATATGAAAGTGTGTCAGTAGAACTCAAGAGCACACAAAAAGCTGCATGATAATTACAAATAAAAGTGTCAGTGCTGTGATGTAAATGTAAACAAATGTAAACAAAGATACATAACAAGTCATTTTAAAAAACATTTTTGCAATCACTGCAAATCAGTGTTTTGATATAAGTCTTGAAATAACAGCAGATATGTAATACGAGCGATTTGAGAGAAATTAGTTTCACTAAAGCTCATTAATTCCCTCATATGATTTTACAGTATGAGAACATTTTCAATCCTGCGACTCGCAATTTAGGGACTTTGAATAGAAATGTCATTTGTAATAGATATTTCCACATCTGTTGTTTGGAAAATGTTATTGCAGACTATAAAAGCTATCATAGTCTGATATAGTCTCAGAAGACATTCCTGTGTTTTGTCAGTAAATGAGTAAAACAGTTCCCCGCAAATAACCCAAACAAGTCCTTTACATACATTATCTGACAACATGTGCAGTTAAATTTAACAAAAATAATTTAGCAGGCCTGACACATGAAACAATAGATAAAGACAAACAAAAATGAACAAATAAATAAATAACAATGGCTTTCCTTCAAAGGTGCACCGAGCAAAGTTTGTGCTTTCACACAGCTCGCCTGCAAAAAAACATGTGACTGTATGAGTGTGAAGCCTCAAGGTGCTTCAGGTATGGATCTGTACATGTGCTAATCCCAAAATACAGTATATAACCCTCGGTTCCCTGCAAACATGGGAACACACATCAAGAATCATTCACCTAAAGTCAAAACACCATAGTGTTAATCTGTTATATGTATATAAGGTTGGGAGCAGCCTTCTGATCTGTGTTTTCATTGAAGAGCCCCTTCATTTTCATTTTCATTCACTGTCAGCAGTTTTAAGATAATTAAGAAGCCGACCTGTAATCAGAAGCAGTGTCAGCAATTTGTAATTATTCTCTGCACTTTTTAAATGAGAAAGATTGTTTATTTGTACCTCCAACCACCCCTATTTTGGATGGAAAACCAATGTTTTGTGTGTAAGTGGCTTAAATTGATATGAAATGCTTACTTGTGCCTTACAGACTACCTGAATCCCCTTTTTAAAAGCAGTCTGTGACATGCTTGCTCAATTTACTCCCCGATGTATTTTTCTCTAATCTTGGTTGTCCACCGTCTCTTGTCACTTTTGATACATCTCCTCTGAATCAAGCATTTATTTTGTTTTTCTAGACGTCCCGGTGACTCCGCTTTGAATGCTGGGTTGGTTTCAGGGCTAAAGACACTCAACAAGGGAGGGTAATGTTGCACCACAAACATTCAGTAGGTAGGTTCATTAGAGCAGTCACTGGAGTTTTGTTGTCTTTTACTGTCTTTGTAGATCGACTGGATGTTCTGTGTTTGTTGAGAAGAGAGATATGCGTCAAAGCACAGATATAAAGGCGATGTTGGAGGAGGGGCTGTAGTCTGTCGACCAAAGGTGGTGACACACTTTTAGGGTTAGACGACAGACTCAGGAGGGACATCCTCTTCTCACTCACTTCCTCTCACTATTTATTCAGTAGAGGGGTTTTTGTCCTTGGCTGTCAAATTCTGACCAGGCGTCATTTAGTTCCATGAAAATCATCTTGGCATATTGTTCATAGGGCTGTCCTGTGGCCTGTGGGAAAGAAAGAGAAAGTGGTAACACACAGGAGAGTAACCTGAACACTTCTCCTCTTCTAGCCATATCCAAATGAGTAATGCAAAGCATCTGTTTTGCCTTTGCCAAACTTGATTGTCTCAATGGCAACAGTACAAATAAAAGGTTACAGATATAGAACAGGTCAAAAGAAATAAGGACATAAAAAAAAGAATCAATCATAATACCCAACTCAATTCAAAGATTGAAGCTTACACACAAATGCACAATAACATTTATCCTCCAAATGCTATCCTTGATACTTTTTAATGTTTATCAATGATCAGTTGTCACATTTTAAACAAATCAGTAATTTTGTATTACTACTTGTATTTTGCATCTGTATCTATAAAGTCTAGTTTGTTGCTTTTTATTCTAATGTTTTAGTTTTTAATTATTTGATTGTTTTGTGTCCTTGGTGCTAGAAAAACACTTAGCAATACATTTTTTAAATGTTTTTACTAAAAGTATTATTTTTGTTGTTGTTGTCATGGCTGTGCAGATCAAGTTGGTTCAAGGGGAAGGGTTACAACTTCAAAACTTAAATCAGGTTTTAACAAAAAGAGCAAGATATACAGTATATATTTCTGACAGGGAACATAGAGTTTGTGGGACCCCAAACAATGAAAAGAAATGTCAATAAAAACAGGGTGGATTGAAGAGAACTTTGATATAGGGACAGAGGGATTTACATACTGTATCTCCTAGCATGCATACAAGTAAATATCCTCACTTCTCAGTCATCATTAATATTATTATTATTATTATTATGAAGTCCACTAGCACATGTGTCTCACCTTATCTGGGTGCACGACCAGGACTGCTTTGCGGTAGACCTTCTTGACCTGTTCTGGCGTGACCAGGTCAGCCATGCCTACAGGCTTCCAGCGTGTCTCCCCCTCCCACAGCACCGTGTGCATGGTGGACAGTAGAGCGCGGATGTTACGCTCCTTCCCCTCGATCCAGTCCAGAATCTGGGTCACAAACAGGGAGAGAGGAGAGGGCCATGAGCCAGTGATGCCAAGATTTGGGACAATTATTAGCAGAAATGCTTTGATGATGGTTCCTGGCTCTGGTGAAATGTTTTTGAAGGAGATATTAGGGGAACCAAAGTTTCATCGTGGGAGACCTATATTGGTCGCTTCATTAATTCTGAAACAACCAGAAAGGCTTTAACAGCCAAAGCTAAACTAAATGAAATTATGATAAAAACCTAGTGAACTGATGTCAAACCATAATTCTCCTCGGATATAGTCACATGACTTTATGGAGTTACTCACAGAAACTTTGACAGCAAATAAACAAACCAACACTTATTTCTATGACTAACCAAATGTAACTCAATTAAACTTAAAGTGGACCTATTATGCTATATTGGAAAAATATGTTGTAGGGCCATACCTATAAAAAACATGTCTGTGAAGTTTTTTGCTTAAAATACCAAACAGTTCACCCATTGTAGCCATGCCTCATACTGCTCATACCCCTCTTTTGCAGCCCTGTTAGAGAAACGCGGATTTTAAGTCCTTAAAAAAAAAAAGAGGAGGCGGAGCTAATGCCTGATCAGAATTCTACCGGAGATAAAGTTAAATTCTGCTGTGATAAAACGCCATCAAGGATTATTTCTGAAACAGTATGGAGCTCAAATGCTTTTTCTCTTGCGGGTTTATCACAAGGTGAGTTCCTTTTTTTATTTCCTGCTTTTTAAACACATGTGCTCTTCAGTACAGGTTAGCTCTGAGTGTTAGCGAGGCTTGCTAATGTAAACAAAGACGAGATTACGTCCAAAACACGCCAGGCATTGTTTCTGATAGCAATTTTCTGTGGGTCCGCTGCCGATTTGACGTCAGATCGGCAGCAAATCTGTATCCGCTCATTGTACCCCTGTTTTTAAAAGATTTGGGTACGGAGGAAAAGAGAGAGGGTTTTATTTTCTGACGCTGCGTGAGTTCCCCAACGCACCGGGGACACATATTTATGTATAAAAGACATCACAAAGTGCATTTTGCATGATAGGTCCCCTTTAAGAAAAAAACCTGCCTTTATTTTCTCAGGGTCCATCTCTTTGGCCATCTCCTCCTTCCTCATCTCTGCTATAGTCCTGGGCCCTTTCTTCTCTTTGGTCCCAGCGAAGCCCTGACCAGACAGCAGGTCATCAAAGTTGGCATTCACGACTTTCGGCTTAGTACCTGGCACACAGGGTAACAAACAGAAAGTCAAAAATACATACTTTTAAAGATAATCCGTCACTTATTGTATGTTTCTGAACAACTAGATCCAATGTACTCTTTCTGGCAGATCCATTTCTACAGCATCAAAAGGTTAATGTATACAGAAATCAAGTCTAAATATTACACCTACCTCTCTGCTCTCTCTTCTAAATATAGTATTTTTTTTTTTTTTTTTTAATAGTACATTCATTTTGAACCATTTTGGCAAATAATGTTAAATATCTCATGCATAAAGAATTAAACACACTCCAAACTTTCTAAACTCCAAGCAAACTGCATAATGACAGACAGTATCAAATCCAAGTCCCCTTCTCCTGCTTACCCATGCTAGCCTGTGCTTTAACCGCTGCGCTGGGCGAGCCCCCTCCCATTGCTGAGAAGCTGACATTGTAGTTGGGTCGGCCCCCGGGCGATGCGTGAGGCATGGGGGTGTGGCTGGGGCTGGGCTTTGGCTGCGGGGCGGGGCCCGGTCCTTGGGGTTGCCATCCTCCGCCAGCTCCAGCACCTGGCTGCCACGAGGGGAAGCCTGCTCCTGGGTTGGACTGCCACCCCTCTGCATGCTGGGGAGACGGGGGTGGTCGGGAAGGGGAGCCCATGGGAGGGATGGGAGGGATGGGAGGGATGGGAGGGATGGAAGGGGTAGGCCCAGTAGGAGTGGTCGGTTTGCTGGAGAAGCCAGAGCCTGCAATTGTAAAAAACGGAGATAATGACATGAGATAAAAATATCGGAGTCGTGTTGGGCTTCAGCAAATTTTCAGTGACTGACCTCCACCGAGGTTGCCTAAGTCAGCGAATGGGTCCAAGTTTGGCTTGGATTGGTGGGTGGGGGTGCTGTTGACTGAGCCTGTGGGGCTCGTAGTGGCTGACCGACTTCCCATACTAAAGCCTGCTCCTGGATAAATCAACAAACAATGCATATACGTTTTAGAGTGTTTTTTTACTCTTCAGTATTTTTTTTCAGTGACGAATTGGCTCGAAATGAACTTCCCTCGATTTAAGTATTAGAACATTCAGTGTGTGTGTGTGTGTGTGTGTGTGTGTGTGTGTGTGTGTGTGTGTGTGTGTGTGTGTGTGTGTGTGTGTGTGTGTGTGTGTGTGTGTGTGTGTTACTGGTCTCTACCTGTGCTTGTAGTAGCGGGTCTGTTCCAGTCCCACCCTCCCTTTGCATTTTGCTGCTGAATGTTGACGGTTGGGGTGCTTGGTGGGACGGGGGAGTTTCGGCCTACAGGAAAATATAAAGGTTAGTCCAAGACTGAACACACAATGAAGAGGAACTGAGCAACAGGAATCCAGACAGTCAAAGAAAATGATAAGTCATAAAGCGTTACTAGCGGATGTTTGAAGTCTGAATGGATCTGGTGTTACAGTCGTTCTTGAAACTACATTTACTGTTGATATATTCCTTGCTCTAAGACAAAAAAGTGTCATACCAAACTGCGATGATCATGTTCAATTTATTCGTGGTAAGCCTCTGACCGAATATGTGCTTCTCTTGTTGGTTTTGTTGGTATATTATCCTTTTGTCAAGAGCCAAAAAACGTGTATTAAATACTTGAAATAGAAGACGGCAAATTCTACTAAATATGTATAAGGCTTGTTCAGACCGGTTTTTACAAGCATTAGTGCAAGTTAAGGTTGGGCTCAGGCCAACATGTACATTAAATACTGTAAATTTAGAATTAGCAATATACATCAAAGATTAAAAAGCATATTGATAATGTTCTGGTCTTGATTCATTATGCACAGACTCCTCTGTAGAAAGTGTTGAATCGCAAGAAATGTCAGCAGGCTGAAAAAGTTGTTTCATAGAAACATAAAACACAAGTGCTGGGGTGACATGAAGCCTGTGCAATCTGCATGCAATACTAATCAGACATGCTTCAAACACTTGTAAAACATAATAATTTCCAAACATACAGCAGCAATAATATACAGGCTCACTCTTGCAAGCAAGCGTGTGATTAAGCAATGAGAAGTGCAAAATTATGAGAACGGAAAAAGACATTTATAACAGTGCAGGCTCATGCATTTTGGGGAAACATTTTTAAGGCATAGCAGCAGACACTCACTAACTTGCCTTAGCTTAATATGGAGTCTTCAACTAAATATAAAATGCTGTGAGAGTGTTCAGCAGCAGAAGCATGCCTTACCCGAGCTTTTAGGCTGCAGGGTGGGTGATGGAGAGCGAGCAGCATGCAGGAAGGGGTCTGGCTGCCCCACGTTACCTGTTGCAAGGAATGAACCCATCATGTCCTGAGGCTTAGGCATGGGACCTGCCCCGAAGGGATCAAATGCTGAGGGAAACAAACAAAAAAATAATCTTATTCTGTTACTCTATTAAATTACATAGCCTAACTAGTTTATGTTGTTTCATTTAAAGGTCCCATGTCATGGCCATTTCTACTGATCATAATTCCATTGTTGAGGTATACTAAAATAGATTTATATTGTGCAATTTTCCAAAATCACATTGGTTTCTCATACAGCATCTCTGTATAGTATGTGTATACACTCTCTGTCCTAAACGGCTTGTTGGAGCTCCTTCCCCCCCCTCCCTATGAGCCCAGTGGCCATCTGCGAGACAGCGAGACAGCGAGACACAGCGAAACCCAGCCCGAACACACACACACACACGCAGCCTGGCTGGGAGTTTGTGTGTGTGCTCACACACCGACTCACAGCCTCGCCGCGTCCCGCCGCCTCAGGGAGGAGAAATCGGCTGAGCTGCAGCTGAGAAAAGATTGAGTGTGTGAGGAAGTCCGCGGATTGGTCCAACGTAACGGCTCCGCGGACGTAACATAACGGCTGCATGGATTGGTCCATTTGGACCAATGGGTCCATTTGGGTATGGGCACGTCACTGTACCCAGGAAGAAAACAATGGAAAAAGAGAAATCTCCAACGAGGCGTTCTGGGGCAGCATAGCAGGTATTTTCTGTGTTAGAGTTTTACTCGCTACAGGGTGTACTTTGTGACTTTGCAGACCGTTTACATGCATAGAAACCTTCATAACACACAAGGGGACGGGTAATAACTTGAAAAGCATGACATGGGACCTTTAATGTATTACTTTTTGCAATTTAAATGTGTAGTGTTACTGGAATTCTTTGAATAGTATATATTTAAAAAATGATCCTAACAGTTTTTTTACGTGACAAAAGAATAATTATCATCTAGCATTTTCTATTTTCCAATAAATCTTTGATTGTTTTCATTACATATTGTAAAATAAACGTTATTGTTCTTACTTTCCGAAGGTCTACTAATTGATTTATTTCTTCTAAGAACCTACTTTTTGATCCTTCATTTTCATGACCCCATTTTAATTCATAAACTTGTGTAAGCGTGACAAAATCATCTTAATTTATGTTCCAATTACACTCTGTTGAAAACCATGAGATGTGAAGATTTAACCACATATCATACTGTATAATGTGGTTAAGAGCGACAAAGAATAAGAAGGGAATTTCATTCATACTGTAGGTAACAATATCAATATTAGGATATATAATAAACCCCACATTTGTAGTAAGGAGTCTAATTGCAATATCACATGTAAATATGTGTTTCATTGAAATGTACTTCAAGTTATCTCACCTGTTGGTGCCGGTGAGGGACATGGCGAGGCAGTGTTTGGGACTACTTTATGTGGTGTGGACTGGGCAGATGACCCCCCACTGGTTGGCTGGGGTGGGCCCCCGAACAAGTCCCCGAGAAGGTCAGTTGCGGCTGCAGCGGACGGGGGCTGAGATGAAGGACGGTTGATCCCCGCCCCATCGAGGCCAAGAAGATCCACTTCCTCTGCAGGTGCAGGGGCGGCAGGCATTGGAGCAGGGGGGTCGGGTCTTTGGGGGGCCGTGCTGGCGTTGCTTCGCTGGCTGGAGAGAGACAGCATCTCATCATCCGAGGGCTCGCTCTCCTCGCCGTGAGCCCGACCTTCTGCACCTCCTTGAGGCCGACTTGGCTCTGCAGGAGGATGAAACATAGAAAGAAGGAGGTAGAGAAAGAACGAGTCAAAGGAAATGTATTTAATATCCCAATGAGAAAGAGTCAAGGGGTGAAAGTAAAGAGAAATATCACAGACCAAGGAAATTAATTGGGGTAACAAAGACAGAAATATAAAGGAGGTTAAGAGAAAAAAAGGAAGGAATAATGGGCAATTACATAGGTAATCTCTGCTACATGCACCAACAATTCTGCTGATACTATATTCTATAATGGACTATGCTTTAAAAGAAGGGTTGGGCAGTATGACTATAAACCTAAGCTACTATTAGTTTTTTTTTCTTCACTTTGATAGAACATTTAACATTTTTCCCACCTATAGCTGCACTGGGCTTAGGTGCTTTTTACCCAGTTTCTCAATATTTGTCTGGATACAGGGAGAATATAGATTGGTCCACAAGGTATTAGGAGATGTTTGTAAGGGGAATTACTAACACTAGTAGGCCTAATGTATTCAGATACCCAGCTGATGGGTATCTGTGCCAGAAACTGAACAATTACAGTATGGGGTCTATTTCAATTCAATCAATACAGGTTTTAAATGGAAACAGTCAAGTGTTTTTCCAATTACAGAATATGAATTAGTTAAAAGGATCAATGATCTCTCTAGATTTTTTTGGTAGATGTGATTGAATTGAACTCATCCCAGGGAAACTACAGTACAGGTCTGTGGTCGCCATTACTGTCTTACCCTCCAGATCCAATCCCTCCATCTCATCTTGTAGGAACAAAAATGAAAGTTAATTAATTAGTGTGTTTGTGCAAGTGTGAGCTTTTGTGTTTTTGGTTATATAGCTACACTATTTTCCTAACGTATCCATGATATTCATCAGTTCTGCACCAGCTCAAACATTTGTACAGAACAATGTGTGTATTGTTAATGTAATATATATCAACCCAGTCTCACGGCATTTCGTGTTATAGTCACGAAATTAATTTAATCTATTGATTCGTGTTCACCAACACGATTTTCGCATTTTTTTCGTGTCACACAGAACGATTTTAAAAGCAATGTATTTCTATTGGTAGTATGTTTCGTGCCTGCACCACGTCTTTTTGTCCGGTCGGGTCTTGGAATACCAGAAGCTGTGTGGTTCATAAAAACATTTTCTTACTCAATATCTTACCCTAAGCCTAACCCTATCCCTTTTTATTTTAAATTGTATAATGTCTGAGTTTTGTTGCCGTCCGTGAGGAAAAGAAATGGGGCAAAGAGCCTCAGAATACTGAAATCTGTATTTTTTGTCATCTCTTTTTCCTTCTAATTTGTTATTATTTGGTGCAGGCACGAAACATACTACCAATAGAAATACATTGCTTCTAAAATCGTTCTGTGTCAGAATACTGAAATCTGTAATTTTTTTAATCTGTTTTTCCTTCTAATTTGTTATTATTTACATTGCTTTTAAAATCGTTCTGTGTGACACGAAAAAAATGGCGAAATCGTGTTGGTGAACACGAATCAATAGATTAATTTCGTGACTATAACACGAAATGCAGTGAGACTGTGTTGGATATATATGTAAATGTGGTTTAGTGATGATTTATTAGGCTATTCAGTTGATTTTTTATCCCTGTGGGCACCAGTCTGAGTTATAGACTTTCTATGTTTGGCTAGCATCAGAGTTACCTTAAGGTTATGAGTATTTTGAAGTAGCTAATGCTTAAATGTTAGCAATGAACCACTTTGATTTTACATCACATTCAGGTTAGGAAGCTCTAACCAGTAAAGCAAGTAATGTAAAGACAAAAAGTGTCCTAATGTTATGTTAACAAGATAAAGTATACTGTGTACAGTTCCACAGGAATTCATGTAGCTAATGTTACACACAAATCGGGCAAGGTTACTAGCTAGCTAACTAGCTGGTGTCCTGCTAGCTTGTGTTACTCCTTGTGTTTTCTCATTGAGGTTGTGAGCTGAAACTTGATACAGGTCCATATTTTTGGTGCAGCCACTAATTGACTTTATTTCTAATTATATAGTTGATTGTAAAATGTGACATCTTCGTCCCCTAAATAAAGATCAACGACCTTTTAACAAATGGGCCAACAGCTACCACAGTACAGCCCTTTTGTATCAGAGCCATGAGATAGTATGTTGTGATTGAATTAACAATATAATCTCCATTTTGATCTTTGTTTATGTGACAAGCATTTAGTTGCCAAGCCAATATTGAACTATGAACAGAAAACCCTAATATCTTTATGATAGAGCTTTTCAGAAAGGCTGATTAAAGACAATAACACACAAAAGTTCATGGAGCATAGCATATAGCTTCCCATCTAAAGTGTGTTTTGCAGTATGTCTATGTTATTGATAAAAAAATGTGTGCAGTTCAAATTAGCAGAGGCAGTTTAGTACCCAGTGTAAGCTACCCATCCCAACGTTACCAGCGATAGCAAGGGCGTCCTGATTTTCCTGGTGGCAGGTGAAGAGCACATTGGGGTTGAGGTCTTTACAGGGGAACTGCTCCCAAGGCGGCGTCAGGTCTTTCTGCTTGTCCACCCCCTCTACTTCCACGTCCAGTATCACATGGAAAAGCTGGGGATACTTCTCAGGAGAGTCACATGCATCCAGCTCTGGTCTGACAGGGAAAATGTATGTTTGTTAGAGTGAGAGGGAAAACAGACTGTACTCAGCAGGGTTTGTTTTTCTTCCATTCTCATATATGTTATCAAATAGAAAAAAAGTCCTTACTTGCTAAACTTTAGCACGGTGGTACCAGGAGCAATGAAGCCAGTATGGAACTGAATCTGGAAGATCTGTGTGTTGGAAACCTAATAACAGCAGATCAAATGCTTGGACCATGTGCTTTTGTAGTGTACCATTCTTAGTTGCATCAATAGTAAAATGCATTGTTGTATCACATGTTGCTTTGCAATCCTTAATACATCTATTTTCATAGATTTAGCAATAATTCCTTACAACAATTTACCTATCATATTAATATATTTGACAGTTTGTGTGTCTGTGACTGACTCAAAGATGTTCAATTGAGTAGCAGCCCCATCCTGAGACTGTTTGATGATAATAGTTCAATATAATATATCTTGTGCAAACAACATTATCATTGTGAAAAAGGCAAATTAAATTGACCTTGGCCTGGAGACGTCCTCCGATGGTCGACCTCATGTGGTACACTGAAACAACGACGTCGCCTTGCACACTCGCACCTAGAGGAAAGGCAATCTTACCCTCTTGGATCCTGTGCTCTCTGGATATGAAGAGTGTGTGGGAGGGAAAAAAACATGGGCAAATTAGAGAGAGACAAAGAAAGATGGGAGTGGAGCATAAGGAATAAAAAGCAGGATGTAAGTCTCTGTGATTATACCTTCAAATGTATCATAAATACAAGTATAGATTCCTATTTAAGGCTTATACAATTAAAATAAGATAGTGCTGCCCCTACCTCATCCTCTCGTACTCCTGTGCAGTGCTGAAGATCTTTGTCTCTCCAATAAGGACATCACAGAAAGGCCGACAGCCGCTACGCTGCTTGTTAAAGCAGGGTACTGGACTTATTGTAAGACCCTTGATCATCAAGGGCTTGGAATGGGGTAGACTGGGCTTCTCCGATACCATGCTGCACACATAGCCTATGTACCTGCATGGAGAGAAAGAAAGATAATCGCTTAAATTCTGTGTTAGTTTTCAATGTCAAATGCTTCACTTTGTGTTTTGTTATGTGTGTACGATAAGGATGAGTTATTGCTGCCATTTCCATAAACTCTTATTCATTTTGCACTGAAACTCTAACAAGGACTGATAAATGATACAGAACTGGCTGGCAGGGTATTAAAATGTCCATCCTTGAGGGGCGGCCAGCTCTTGGTATAACCTGCTGATTAAGTAAATGTTACGAACCTCAAAAACTGTTGTTGTAATCTCTTGGTAAAAAAGCAATCCCCCCTTCTCCTACTTCGTCTTACATTTTTTATTCCCATGTTCCTTTGCTTCTTTTCCCCTTTTATATTTCTAATTCTCTGTCACCCACACATATAAAGTATATTCGTTGAAACGGACCTGCGGTGTGAGGGCCACAGGCCAGATCCTGGTCTCTTGGCGCTGAGCAGCTGCATGGCAGGAACTGGATTGTTGAAGAGGTGGCAGAAGCAGAACATGGCACAAACCAAAACACCCGAGGGACCCCGACCATCCTATAAACACAAAGCAAATGATATGCTGGGTAACTATTATATTTTAAAGCTTCAATAATATACTGTTTAGTGATTTCTGCCATGCAATTGAACCCCTGCACAGCGTGTAGGGCCATGAATAGATCCAGCCACTGAACATTGTGACTTTATCTCAGACAAGACACAGGTCTGTGAAAAACTGTTAAAGTTGAAGCTGCCTACTGTATGTTATAGCACAAAGAAGTTCATTTAATACTTAAGTGTACAAAAATTACTAATGAAGACGTGTCCAAACAGACCAACTCTAAAAACACCTGTAGTAGATTCCTTCTGAATGAAGTCAATGTTCCTCTGAATGAAGCCAATGTTATAAATCTTCTCTGAGTTCACTTAAGGTTACAGGGGGACAAAACATTCTTGTGATCCGGAGCAGAGAAAAAAACAGATGGACCCGTTTGGGGGAAGTTATGTAACTTGGAACTGTTTGCCAAGACCCAGCCAAAACAAAGTGACTTGGCAATAACATGGTCTCCCACATTCCAGTGTACAGTGTGGCTATCACTTATTTAGAACAGACAGAAAGACCTGTTTCATTGAGTACTTCATTAGTGATTGTGTTGCGAAACATTTGTATTTAGGGTTTAAGCTGTGCTTGAAATATGCCTGACAGTTTTAAAGCTTTAAAGGGTTATCATCTTACTAAAAGTGAAACTGTATGAAACAACAGTTTGAATAATTTTCTTAAAGGGGCCCTATTATGCTATTTACTGTCCCAATTTTAATCACCATGTTTTATACCCGTTTTCCCTTTTAGATTTAAGTTGATATTTTTAACATCAAGACTAAAGTTTCTCAAAAGTGCTTTTTGATATAATGACACAGCCAAGATGACAAATCCTTTGCGTTGACAACTAAATGTATGTGGCACGAAACACTGTAGTTTAAAATACCTTAGAAATCAATTGATTTTGAGTTTTAATGTGTCTGTCTATATTCAGTCAATTAAAACACAACCCGAAAAACATGGAGATGTGTTTTGGGACAACCCAAACAGGTGCTTCACAGTAAGATAACCTTACTTATGCAGTTATAGTAAACTAAATGGCAATGCACAAAGTCAGGCCAACAATGAACAAATATGAAAAAAGTGTATGATATGTATATGATGAGCATCGTCTTACCGAGCAGGTGATGACACACACATTCTTGGGATTCTGTTTGAGCCAGTTGTGCATGTTTTTACACACAGCAAAAAGGTTGTGGAGGCTGGGAGCCTGACGAGAAGGCCAGTTACACTCGGAAACCTGGAAAGAATTTGGAGCAAAATATAAGATAGGGGGATGAGGGAAACAGGCAGTGACACGGAAACAGAGGAGGCAAATGTAAACAAGCATATGAAGGCAGGGAGAAAGAGGGAAGAAGTAAGGTAAAGAAATAGGAAGATATGTGAGAGATACAGCGACCTCCACAAGCAGACAGGGGGCCATATTCGCCGTGTTAACGCCACAGATTGACTTTTCAGCTTTTTTGGATGTTTTCTGTCAGAGGGTGACAGTGGCAATCTATAGATATTTGACTCCTACAATCTGTGCTAAATGCTAAATGACACAAACCAAAGACCCTATGCTGAGGTTAGTCATAACCATAAGATGGGATAGAATAATAGAAATAGAGCATTCAGATTCAAATCTTGCTTTGTAAATGGAGATTTACAGTAGCTGGAACACTTTTAGTAGTTACCAATAAAGAAATATTTATCCAAAGACAAGTAGTTATTCCTGAAGTTAACAATGTAAATGATGCATGTTGAATTGCTGCTGTGTTACATGTTTTGGACTGAACATTTCAAAAACAATACTAATTATTAAAATAAATGTATATATTATAATTTGTATTTTGTTCATTGCAGATATTGTAATAATATCATGGAGTACATCCTCAAAGCATGATAGGTGAGTTAAGTGATGTAAGCACTATTTGATATTCACTGGGAACTATTCCACTTATTTTCAAAAGATACCACTCCTCCTCATTTTAGATTTTTTTTGCGGGGGGTTTGACAGACATTTTTGAAGACTGTGATCTTATTTGCATGTTGCTCCTGTGTAGTAGAGTAGCATCCAGCCCATTTAACAGAGCTATAGCAAATGCAACAATGCATTTGTGTAGAAGAGAACCAAATGTAACGCGTCACAAATGTTTTACCGGCATGTGAGGGAGGTGGAGTGGGGATAATTTTTGCTTCAGGCTGCTACGCTCACATGCTCTGCCAGGTGTCAGTAAAGTAAAGGAATATATCATGTTTAGGACAATATGATAGTTGCATGACATTTTGCCTTTTTGGAAAATAAATGACTATTTTGGAAAATTCGAAATACACAAAGCATGTTTATTCATTTTAAATTGGGTTTCTGTTCACATGAAGTCTAATATTCACTTTTTATGTAAGAGGCCTCTATTAAAGGTGGGGTAGGTAATTTTGGAGAAACCAGCTCGAGTGTGCTAGAATTTGAAAATACACAGCCGGAAAAAATCTGCCACTTCCTTACAGAGCCCCTCCTCCAACACACACGAACGCGCACATGACCAATGAGGGCACTAGATAAGTTTGTGCACAGATGGAAGGCTGACAGGCAGGTAGGCCATCCAGTTATTTTAGCCGGGCCGGCTAAAATGATTGGTCGTACTTTTTACAGTACTACGGCTTCCACAGATGACATTTTTTGTATGGATTTTTTGTCAAAGCACTTAAGATATTCATTGCTATCGGGATGTTTAGAGCATTCCATGGAATATAACAAAAAGTGTATCTCGAGCCGGTTTCTCAAACTTACCTACCCCACCTTTAACTCCTGAGGAATTATCTGTCTGATAAAAGTTTGTTTGTTAAAAACAGTCTGTCTGCTGTTTGGTGTTGGACAGTTAATGTACAGCGGATGCTAAAATAACTCTGTAGAGTTGTTGGGTATGACAGAGTATGAGTCAGAAGTGATACTTCTCTGAGCGTTTGGCACAACTTGCTACCGAGTGGGTGAAAAAATTATTTAATGCAGATTAAAATTAGAGGGAAAACTAATTAGAGACTTCTTTCTGAATGCTTCCATCGCTTATAAGCAAATGTAGCAATGGCCTGACTTTAAATATTAGCTGACCAAAAATAGCCGTCAAACTTCTCATATCTCACTCTAGTGTTATAATAATCTGAAGAAAAAGATATGCACCTACCAATAACTACATTTATATCAAAAACAAATACATCTGTAATGGCTTCATGAGGCAGAATCAAACTCACCCTGTTGGAGAATTTGGCACCGCGGTAGTTACGCTGTGACAGATTGAAGACAGTGTAATGGTCGGCATGGCGACTGTCGAGGAAGGAGCGAATGTCCTCTACGTGGTTCTGGTAGCCAATCTGCACTGACTCTGCTGGGTAGGTCATCACTGAAAATAAGAAGTAGAAAAATTAAGAGTTTAACCTGTTAAGCCCCAAGCCTGTTTTTCAGGTCAAAAATGACATTCCCAGAACAAATGACCATAACTTCCCTTCTAAAAGGGGTAAATTAATAATCTTTTTTCTCAAAGCAATGATAAACCTGTGAGTTGGATGTAGAAAAGTCAGAATCAATATAGAATTGTTTTATTTTAAAGTAAATTCAGATTGAACATAGTAAAAAAATGTAAATTGTAGTGTCCGTCCAAAAAGAAATCATTACTTATAGTGAAAACCACCCTTCAATGATGGGATAGTAGACTAAAAGCTTTAGGAATCCAAACTATAACATATAATAAGTACCCTGTATCAAGATTGATGCAAAACAAGTGACATTTGACCTTTTTAGAGAGGTTTAGCAAAAGATAAAACACCTCTGTGGTCATTTGGGTGTATTTGGGTGTATTTGCCATTTCTCTGGAAAGCCATTGGCCGATTTTGATGATTGACACCTCTTTTTAACCGTTAGAGCCAATAGAATTGACGGGGAGATCCTAAGTCCACATACACGTACACCATGAGGAGTGAGAGTGATGCGCACGCAGTTTGCCCAAACCGAAAGCTACGTTACACTCTGAAAATTGAAATTGCCATAAATATGAAGATGGATTATCAGTAATCATTTCAAAGTGACACAGACACATTGGATTAAGCATTGGATTAACCTTCAGCAGCGTTTTTATCGTTTTGATGCCATTGAACACAACTTTTGATCAGAACAACAGCAAAGGTAAGACTAATCCTGTTTTTGTTCCGTAAAGTTACGTTGTGTGATGTCTGGGTTTGCTTCCCTTGCCGCAAGTTTTGATCGCAGTGATGATACTTATATTTCTGGGATCTGTGGAATCTCAGCTTGCTAGCTGATATCTTGTTTGTGCAGATCCAATAAGTAATTAAGTATTTATACGGTGAGTTCTGTGCTAAGTGCGTTAGCATTTTTTCGCTAAGGGCTAATTCAGAGGCTCGGCGTTAGACTTGTGTTTCGTTTAACTAAAAATGGTTCATATCGTCAGTTAGCTGAGTTTCTTCCCATTAAATGGATATGACACATTCATTCGTTTGTTAAATGTTAAGAAGCCCTCAGACGCTGTTTCTTGCAAGATGTTGCGTTTTGGGGCTTAACAGGTTTTAATGCACTGTTGCAGATGATTATATACACAATGTAGATAATAGCCTCACACTCAATGTCCATCTTCAATTCTTCTCTACAGTTATTCTACAATAAGTCAATTGAAATGTGGAGAGTGGACCAACATTGACACACGACTATCCGTGGCCAGACACAAAGCATTGTGGGATAGAAGCCCTCAGGGGACAATTGTCCAGCTGACTATGCTTTCCAAAGGACACACTGCTACTTCCTACTCAAACGCATGTGGAACTAGAAGTGAGTATTGAAATAAGGGACATTTCTGTGAATGTGTTTATGCTTATGTGTACATTAGGTTAATACAGGGTCACATGACACATGTCTAGCTTATCATCTATAAAGCATTTCTACATTATACATTTTTAAGAACCTAAGCTTTTAACTCTGAGAATTTGGAAATGGCCAAACAATTTTAAGCCATGTATGTCCATGCACTAATTAGCATTTAGAAATGTTTGAATATAAATCAAATGAAAGTTTTTGGGTTGAACATAGTCCTAAAGAAATATTTGCTGATTAAAATATTAAAAAAAAACGTAAGACATCTATGTACCAGATTCTTGATAATTTAGTCGTGGGAGGTTTTTTTTTCTCCTAGTAATTACTTCAAATTGTAACATTTCAATGTCTTTAAAGTGAAATTATTTTAATTGAGAGTTTTGGACTCTGATTTATTATTTCTTGTGAAGAGATTATCCAAACGCACAGCTCACAAAAAATCTATTTCGTAAAACCAAATATGTTTACCTATGATCCTTGATGTGATGTAGGCAATGTCTAGCTCCCCTTTTGTGTACCTGCAACAAAGAAACACATATTTGAATTATTTTGAATGTTTGTCCATGCACTTGACATGACAAAATATCAACTCACACATTTATTGCAGGTAAACTATTAAACAGCAGGCACATTTGTTGGTGGTTTTCACACATTTTAGGCATTTAGTCAAAGGATGCTCTATCCTTGAAACATATCTTATCAAACAGAGGAAATCAATGCATGCCGAGCATGTAAAAGGTCAATCCACCTCTGCATCAGGCTACATGTCATGTATACACAAGTTATTCTCCTCAGCATGCTTCAGAGCAGATGCTTCCCCACATTAGGCTGCACTGACCAGGATCAAAGCGGTACCATATGTGAATTCTTCAATTGAGAACCATTGCCTTTTATAGCTAAATTTAGCTGTTCCATATGGAGTTTTCTTTTAAACTGAGAGCAGCTGCAGTGCAGACACAACTAATCCACTGCTGCTGCACCATGGAAGTGAATGACTGCAGGAAAATTGTCTTATTTTTTGTAATATAAGTACATTTTTATATTCTTTCTCAAAAACATTTGTACCCAGCAGTAACACATAGCTCAGCTTCCCGCTTTCCTGCAATTATCATGCAAAACCAGGCTAATGTGAATCAAATTGAGTTGACTTGTTGCCTACTGTGAAAATCCCCTTAGCAGGGCTGATCAGGGCCAACGACCTCTGTGTGGTCATGGAGGAGTGCCATATGGCACTGATGCATTCCTAGACCTGGTTATGTAATGCACTGCTACTTAAAGACAGCAGCTAATATAACAAACTGAGCCATCAGAGCTGTTTAGTCTATTAAAGTCATTTGACCACCGTTCAGTTAAAATGCAGCCTGCAAGTTTCACATATTGACATTAAAGGTGAATATCTGGACTGTATATATACTCATATTAAGGCCAGTACACAGATAACCTTTCCTAACCATAAATTGATGTTACAAAATACAAAGAAGAGTATTTGTAGAAACTGCCTTAATTTCCTTGTTTTATGTTGTTAGACATATATTCCACAAATCTGCAGTTTTATCGACTTATCTCCGGAAATAGCTTGTTGGCTATTAAAGGAGAGATTAAGTCAAGTGTCAGGTAGGTTTAAAAGGTGATGGCCAATAGTCACGAAGTATGCAAATGAGCAGCCTCACTGATCTCATTAAGTTAGAGCTGCAGCCAATGAACATGTACTGCAAGGTGTGGTGCAGGAAATGAAATAGTCAGGAAGGACACAACTGGAAAGAAGGGCAAAGCTGACACTGGGGAATCTTCTCCTTTCTGTTAATCAAGGTAGCCACTATACTGTCTCAGGCCAATGTACACATTTTAAGCATGTGTTATGTGTCTGACTCTTCTTACCTTCACTGATGTTGACTCTACAGTATGTGTATTATAACTGGCAATATCAATAATGCAAGTAATTTAAATAAAGTCAATCTCTCTTTTGAACACTTTTACATTCTACCTTTGATATACCTTTCTTGTTGGTGGTATCTCACTTTGTTTGTAATCACTATAATTCAATTGTCCTTAACCTTTTATTGGAAAAAGTGTGTTTTGCTGTAAGCTAAACACACCAAGCACACCTGTAATTACATCCATGAGGGTAAAGTGAAAACACACACACACACACACACACACACACACACACACACACACACACACACACACACACACACACACACACACACACACACACACACACACACACACACACACAAAAGCAGTTACCAACAGGCACCACAGTGCCTGTTGTTTATGGTTCTTACTGGAAAGCAAACATTACAAGCATCAAAGCAATTGTAGGCCCGATTACAGCAGCAGAGAGGTCTCCACTTATCTTAAGTGACTATAAACACACAAACACACACACACACACACACACACACACACACACACACACACACACACACACACACACACACACACACACACACACACACTCAAACAAACACAGTGTAATGGCGCGTTTCCACTACAACGCGGAGCACGGTTTAAGAGGGCTGTGACGTCAGCGGCCCGTTTTTGGTTGCGTTTCCACTTGGCCTAGTACCGGCCGGTGGGTCCTAATTCACAGTTTTTCTGGCCTCATAAAATCGTGGGTCTAGGGCCAGAGACAACGAGGCTGAGTATGCTAAACTAGAGAGAGAATCGCTGGCAAGGGGGCTACAACTACAACAAGATGGACATATTTGACCGTGATTTAATTGTAATACACGTTTCAAAATGATGCCGAAGTAACAACATACTGATACCGGTTAGTAAAAACCATGAATTAATGCTTTGACAAGTCTGCAGACAGACGGCAGGCGAAAAACCTTTTAAAATGCGTGTTTTCTAAATGGAGATTGGCTAAGCTAACGCAGTATATGCTCCGACCGTCCACACTCACAACAACGGCCTATACAGACATAAATAAAGCAGCGACTGTATTCGCCATGACACAGGCAGTCTGTGGTTTGTACTTGTTTAACTTTTGTCTAGTTTCTGAACAGATATGAGGAGCTGTGAGCTCTGAGTGCTAACAGCTAACGGCTGTGTTGTTTTTCTGGGGTTCTCATTGAAGATGACGTCACGGCTCCGCCTACACTGCGTTACTCTAGATACTACCCCAGTTCCTAAACTGTAATGGAAATGCGCCATAAAGTGAGCCAGTCCTAACGAGGCCTAGCCATACTGAGCGAGGCCGAGCGAGGCCGTGTAGTGGAAATGCGCCATAAGTGGGCTACATCCCAGTAGATATTAGATTGGAGTTTTCTACATTCCCTCCATACTTCCCTCAAAACGTCTTCATTGTGTTGCCGTTTTGATATTATAGATTTACATTAATGTTGCATTGTTATTGACAGTTTAAAGTAGAAAATAGCAACCAATACATTTATTGGGTTGACAAAAAGTCACTAATGAAATAGGGACAAATGACAAATGAGAAGTGAGAGAGAGATGAATGTGTGTCTGGTGGGGGGCGTTGCAGGCACACTTGCCAACCTTGAGACCTCAGCAATCGGGAGCATTTAAAACCACCGCGGGGGGGGGGGGGGGGGGGGGGGGGGGGGGGGGGGGGGGGGGGGGTGCTAGTGGATCGCCGGAGCTGTATTAGATTAACATTAACATGCTTATTGTAGTTGTAAGTGCACTGCCTTGCGGCCTGTAGCACCATAATATGTATTTTACAGGAAAGGAGTGAGCAGAGGGTAGAATTGTCGATTCTTGTTCTGTTTGCTGTGACTATCTTCCTCACCCTCTCAGACTTTCAGTTGCGCGCGCTGCGCTACCATGGAAACCAAACAATGGTGTAGCTGTATTAAAGTCCGAGTGGAAACAGTCCTGAGTAAATCTGATTTTGTCAGAAATCGGGAGAAATGCGGGAGAAATATGACCCCGGGAGGAAACCGGGAGAGGGCAATGAAATCCGGAGTCTCCCGCGAAAATCGGGAGGGTTGGCAAGTATGGTTGCAGGGTGTCTGGGAGCAGACTTAGGACACTACGCCTTTCACAAAACCACATCGCCCATGTGTTTCTCACAGACAGAGGAAAAAACACAGCTGAGCGTTGTTGACGGATAGGTTTTCCTGCAAATATTCTGTTCAGCCAGGTAAACAAACAAGCAAGCTGCTTTAAATAATTCAGCTTCAGCCTTTTGCCTGGAATATAGATGAGAGGGAAGCAGAGAGGGAAGCAGAGAGGAGCGATTGAAGTTGAGTTGGGGTAGAGGCACTGGTTAATAACTGAGCTTAAGGGATTTAGTTTTGTATCAAGTTTGCTCAGGGGAATTTTCATTGAAGTCTTTGAACACATGATAAACTTGGACGAAAAAGTTGGTTTAAGACACACACATTAAATTGAAAGAAAGTCTGCTAGCATAGGAAACCTTCAAGCGGCAAACAAATACCCTTCTATATGAAACAGAACATTATGTTATCTCGAGACATTTTGCCAAAGGGGTAAACAAAGAATGATTTTTTTGTACTACAATAACAATCAGGGCCAGGCCACAACAAACTATAACGTATCTAAAATAGTCAATAAAAACAGTGGAGTTGCAGACAGTAAAAGGGAGACAATGAGCTGTACACAACCCCATTCATATTACACGTATGCATTAGTAGTTTTAAATTGTTAAAATGTTTAAAAGGTGGACTAAAGTATAAACATAATAAAATAAAATAAGCGAGAAAGGACATTAGAACATAAAAACATTAGAAAGAGACAGATGGAGCAGTCTTGTTTACAGAGTGCTGCCAACCTCATAGGAATTCGTCATTAGATCCTGCATCTCTTTCATATCTCTCTAAACAACTGCTGACTTTGGTTCATGGAGCAACATAGGAAAGCCACCAATGACAGTCAATGAGCACTTGTCATTGGCGCAGGAAAAAATCATGATACTACGTCTATATAATCCACCCAGCATGCTTGAAGCTGCTCTGTAGATCTACTAGATAGTCAGCCGGTAGCTCAGTTAACAGCGTGTTGATTTATTTATGAGGGCAATAAAGCATATAGTGCTACCTCTACCTCTGGAAACAACTTGTGTTTTTAGAGTCATCTTTTCTGTCCTTCAATCTGGGAATACATGTATTAAATATGATGTAAACAACAGCATGATCAACTCTTAGTGTCAGATCACAGCTGGATAGTTAATGTAGAAAGGGGATCATAAAAAAGAAAATTCAAAGTGTACTGCCCTAAACTACAGTACACATTAGTCTACCTCTGCCCATCTACCTTTCCTTTCTGAGGCTTTTAGTGAGTTGCCACGGTAGCCTCCCTCCCACCACCCCATTATCACAACCACCCACTCACACATACTGTACATACACACAAACACACACACAGGGCCCTAATGAAATGAATCCTTCTGTATCAGCAGTGCACTGGCTGTTTGGCACAATGAACCACCATGAATAATTCAGCCAGGAGAGGAGAAGGCAAAGAGAGGCGAGAAGGAAATGTGATGAGAGGTGAGAAACAGCCGAAAAACGACGGGGGACGGAATGACAGAAGAGTGGGAGTTTGTTGAGATGTTAGCAGCAGAGGAGGGGAGACACAACGGTCAAGCTTGCTGAGTCAGAGAGGAGCTGTGTGTTTCTGCCAGCACAGAGGCCCCTTTGTGCTGCCCTGTGCAGATGCCTGTGCACAAACACACTGGGACGACCGAGCCGTGTCAGACTCTGCTGCCTCCCTCTTTCCCTCCACTCATCCACACTGCTCTCTTTCACTTTTGAAGCTATTTCCAGACTAACTTCACAATGTAATCAACAGCTGAAACAACGCTACATTAGAAGTCACAACATTTGATATATACTGTATATATAACATTCAAGAATATGAACTAGGTTTCTGAATACCATTCAATGTTCATTAGTCAAAATAGGAGTCAAGATGTGATAACATATCCAGCTGTGCTCAAGTTTATGAGCTAGGTTTCTGAACACCATTCAATGATCATTACTCTTACTTTGACAAGAGTCAAGATGTGTTAAAATGTCCACCGCTGTGCAGTGTGACTGTTTTGCATTATTTTATAAACTACTCCAAATGTTATAATATCGCTTCCCACATGGGGTTTCTTTCGTAAAAAACGAGATTAGTCTTTATGCCAGACTATATGATATCAATAACAAGCGTTTCAGATACATTGAATGCCTGCTAATCTACACTGTAAATAAAGTTGAAAAAACCTGGCACTTTTATAGAAACATCAGATTTAAATGTAGGTACACAATTCTGTGATCACATAGTGTAATTAGTAGAGACAAACAGGGACACCAAAACAAAAGCTTTATATGGCAGAAGGTAACAGTGAGTGCTAAGCCATAGTGCAGTTCATGTGTATAATGAAGCGGTAACTTACGTGGCCACCTGATGCATGACCTTGGTGGAGGTGTCCTTCAGAGTGTCCTTCAAGTTGTCCTTGAAGTTGCTGAAGAACTTGCCGGCTCCTCCCTTCACCATATCCAACAGTCCTCCGCCATAATTGGCATCCATTTCTGGGGACAAACGAACTTTCAGAAATTAAGAAGAAAATTCTCAGACACACACACACCAAGGATGCAAAACAGAGAGACACACTTTAATTGTAAATGGCAACAAAATAGACTTTTGGAAAAAGGGGTAAGAGGGGATCAGTGGCTTGCTAAAGGACACTTCAACACTATCTGTAGGAGTCAGGGGTCTACTTACTGAGGCAATATGAGTCACTGTACATGAATGTGTAGATGTGAAGGAATGATGGACAAGGACAAAAGAGACACACAAATAAATGCATACCATCTGGACTTTGTGTCCGTGTGTGTGTGTGTGTGTGAGATCTTACTTTTAGCCATGATATGTGATCTGACTCATGTTTGAACCTTAGATATCCAGTCGATGGTTGGAACAGATCCAAGAGTCTTATATTAGTCAGCACCCCTTAGGAAAATTAAGATTTTCTCTCTTCCTCTCTCTCTTTTTCTATCCCTCCTCTTCATATATCTGTATTACTGGTATACCAATTCTGGGAGTTAGATAACCTTTGTGAAACAATTGAGGGGCACACTTTGGTGGATTTTAACAGCTGACTTTCACACTCACAAAGACATTACAAACACCGTCTGTTAGGAAATCAGCTGGCTGCTTGGACGACTTTCCTGATTAATCATAAACAGTCACTGCTTATTACTCGTTCACTACTTGCCTACTCTTGATCCCTCCAATCCTCTCTCTTTCCATGTCTGAATCCCTCCATCCCATTCCCAAAATGTGACTCACTTCACAGGCACTGAAATGTGTGACGGGGATTAATATTTTCTTGAAAAAATAAAGCTCCTGCTTGTTAAACTTATACAGCATATGATCCCCTGAAAATTCCAAAACTCAAGTGGTGCTTTGCCAAATGCATACAAGAAAACTCCTGTTAACTGAAGAGGCACTCAAAAAGTGTTATATGAACTTGAGATGTGGAGTTTGAAGGTTATAAAAATGTCAGTGGTGCAGTTCTAGACATGGAGGATCTGACGTAAGCTATTGCATCATGGGAACTGTAGTGTCATTTATTTTGTTAATATGAAAAAGACTATAGGATAAGATGTCTTCAGTTTAATAAAGGTACAGTGACCCTTTAAATGACTTCTGTACATCAACAGATAATAAACAAAGAGAATAAAAACATTACAAAAATAGCCTCATCATCACCTTTATCATAGTTTTTTAAATAGTATATTATAGTTATACTTTAACTGAAGAGAACTAAAACAACATTAAAGCCGGAGTTACAGTATGACATTTTTACATGGAAACAGGAGAGCGGAGGAACATCATAAAAAGGACCAAAAGATATTTCAAGTCTAGTGCGGCACAACTGTTTGCTGTTAAACCTTGAAACCCTAAGCTGACAGCAGGCCTCGTTTTTCACATCCTGTAAAACTGTGTAGCAAAGATGAACTGTCTTTTGAACTGTTTTTGAGACAGACATTTCATCTTTATTTATCCATAAAGCATAAACTGTCAACGCTTTTTAAGAGAAAAATAAAGGGAAGGTAACATGCTGCAAAGCTCGCAAATAAGAAACATGTTCTTTGTTGTTTATTTGCTAAACTGCTGACTGTATTTAACTTCTAAGTTGTTAATTTGTTGATTGCATCCTGGGCTAATGCCATACAATCACCATTTAACCTTAATTTGCAGAAGGTTAGATTAGTAGATCAATATCACTCTCCTGTCTGCACACTAATATAAAGCTACAGCCACAAGCTGGTTAGCCTAGCTTTGTAAAAAGACATGGGAAAACAGCTTATATGGCTCTGTCCAAAAGTAACAAAATCCACTTAACAGCACCCCTGAAGAACATTAATTAACCTAATTAATCCAGATTAAAAAATAAAGTCTGAAGGCAGATTTTATTACCTTTGAACCTATCAAGGCTAACTGATTCCTCCTGTTTCCAGCCTAATGCTCATCTAAGTAAACCAGCTGCAAGATGTAATTAGATCTATACTGTGCATACATGAGAGTGATAGCAATCTTCCTATCTAGCTGGAAAGCTTCCCCTTGCATTTCTCTCATTTCAAATGTAAATGTTGCTCTATTTTAACCTCCTTACTATGCAAATTCCCCAGTTGGTGAGCATGACGGGACGTATTAGGGAAACCTGGATCCTGCTCTGCATCAAAACCGACCTGGAACTGCCAATCATGTTCAGATATTTGCTCAGGTAAAGAGGCATCTGGTTTGATAAAGGAACAAGCGTGCTTCAAAAAGAGAGCTGTTTGTAAAAAAATGCGGCCAAACCCACTAATACATCCACCCTCCTCAAATGCATCTTTTTGCTTTCACCAACAGCTGAGAGGGAGAGCGACAATTATTCCTCCAACAATATCTTGGTTGGTGTGAATGACACAGGATGCACCACACAAAAATAAAGCTTGACCAGCAAACACACTGCACATGGCTGTATCTCAGTGCTGCTACTGTACACTGCACCGGGCCTTGTTGTGTCCTGGAGAAGAATGACTGCACCTTAAACCCAGGACTGAAACCTGCTCAATATAGATGCTGCTGATGAGACAAGAAGTGTAGGAATAATAATGTTCTACTAAACAGCTTGACCAGAGGAAGATTCCACTGCATTCAATGGCAAGCCAACTAATGCATGCTACCAAACACATGACACGCTGGTAAAAGAAGAAGAAAACTGTAAGGGACCAAAAGAGGTCAAACATTCCGGTTTTCACAAGAAATAAGATTAAGATTATAAAATAGGATTCACGGAAGTTCCACTAAGTTATATCTGAGTTTTATTTTCATGTTTTCTTTCTCTTGTCACAATTACCCTATGAATCCTTATATTTGTTGTGGATCTCATTGGGACAGATTATATAAAATAGCTAGCTTCTAACTTGATAACATTGGGCTAGGTCTGCTAAAAAACCTGGTCATATAGTCAACTTAATTATCGTTTAAAAAAAAAAAAAATCCTTTTCAAATAACTGGACTTGATTTGATTATCTTTTAACAGTATTTTCTTTTTTTACCTTTCATTATGAAACTGGTCTGCTATGTTGTATTGTCTCATTTTCCTAACTGTATTGTTTACCATCCTGATGATACTGTATAAATAATTATAATTTTGCTCTCTAAATGTATGCTCTCCTGTACTGTATGTCACACGCTTTGTCTGTATTATATGTTGTATTTATTTCTCTGCAAATCTGTGTGAATGTGTTCACTCTGTGTCTGCGGCCAGATGGATGTGGGAGTGTGCAGACTGCTGAGCCAGTTACAGTGACAAACAGTGCTAAAACAGACACCAGAGGGAGGCTCTGGTACAGTCTCCATCAGGTAATACAGCAGAGAGCCTGGCCACAGTGTGAGAGAGCGGGGCATCAACAGAACAGAGAGCTCTGGGCTTTTCCAGAAAGATCAATGAATGTGTCTACCTTAGAGTGCCAACCTTTAGCCCTCAGTATCAGGCTGTGTGTGAACTGGACAGATGGATACATAGACAGGTACAGGCACACTCATACATGAAAGAGACCCTCCATAAGGCCTGGCAAACCAGACAGACATCTGACACTTGATCCCCCTCCTCCACCCTCCCCCAACCCCAATCCCCTTTCCTCATTGACCCTCCTCATCCAGCTTCTTTTGTTTCACACCACTGTTCATCCCTAGAGGCTGGCTGTCTGCACAGAGCACTGCACAAAGGCACAACAGACTTAAACGTTAAATACCAAAAGTAAAATACTTCCTTATTATCCTTCCTTTATTACAAATCCAATAATTATATGTAATGCATATAAGCAGTAGTGCTTTTGGGGGGGGGGGAATCCCTTTCTCATTGGAAAAAACACAATACTTTATGATAAAAACAGATTTTGAACCAATAACATTTGCCAATTCCTCAGGTAAATGGTAGACCTAAATGTAAAAAGTAATCATTTTAATGAAAGCAATGTAATTTGATACTTTTATTTACTTTCTTGATTCTTTTTTACCGTGGCAGCAGTGCAGAGGAGTGTTGGTGACAGCATTGGGCACAGTAGTGGCATCATTCAACTATTCTTCCCAAGAGGCTGTTTTACAGATCTCAATTAGTAATAAGGTGTCATATCAAATGAGCAATTATGACTGAATTCAATAAAGCATGAGGATTTGCCATCAGATTAATGATAAACAGATAGAAGTTGTAATTGGATACATTAAGCTTATTATCCATTATGGCCAGTTGACTAAACTTCAGTACTGAGAGTATTTCGTGCATAATATGTACTCTCTTATCGTTAGTGCTACACGGTTTCCCTCTTAAAGACCATAAGATAAAGTAAATGAGAAATGGAATTAGGTTATCTGGGTATTTTGTATACATATGCTTTCATATTTAGTTTTCACATTATCTTTTTGACACATCTAAAACATACCACTACATCTAGTTTGAACTGTGTGTCAAATGCATTGGTCATCTTTTAAGACTATGTACAGGACTGGTTAGCAACACATATTTAGACATTTTGGACCAAAGGTCCTAAACCGTTCTGCATTTAGCCCAATTCAGCCATATAGGTGGAGTCTGGGGGCCACTATGAGCCCTGTTCATAATAATTATTATGCTATTATAGTATACTTCACTATTGTTAGCCATTGTGTTGTCCACTGCTACCCTTACACCAGGACAGTTGCAGGCCACATTAATACGTAGTCATCACATTTTACTCAAGCACTGACCACGTCAGCGTACAATGCCATCCAAGTAGCCGGCGGCGGTCTCTTACCTGAGCTGTCCATGGTGCTGCAGTCCTCCTCTCTCAGCGGGCCCGCCTTCGGTCCTAGGGTGGCCGATACTGAGCCTGCGATGGTGGCGCTGCCGCTGCTGCTGCTCCCTCTTCCGACACTGAAGCTATCTCCGCCACTATCGACCAACTGCAAAGATTCATAGCCATCGTAACTGGTCTTTTTCTTGTAGGCCCCCAGCAAGCTCATTACCGAAGCACACAAAAAAGAAAATTAAAGACAAAAGAAGCTCCAAAGACGTAAAGGGCTACGCCGCGCCGTCACCGCAAGCACCGCCAGCACTGCTGCTACTACTGCCGCTGGGTGCACCACATGTCCGGGGACGAGAGGACGACAGGTCGCCTCTGTTTTCTGGTGAGAAATATCCTGCCCGGTGGTCTCTCTCCCTCACTCTCTCGCTCCCCCTTCTCTCTCTCCCTCTCTGTCTCTGTCTATCGCCTCCTCTTTTCTCAGCAGCACCGCATTTTACTACGACGCTTTTGCTGCTGCTGCTGCTGACGCTTTAGTCGGCTGAGTAAAAGGGAAATCCACCCCAACGCTCAATCCTCTCATGTGGTTGCTGCATCTATTATTCACATTCTATAATCAGTCCTTCTGATACTCTTTTATGTGTATTTTTCATTAAACTCTTTTATATGTTATTTTTTATGGAAAATGGGAATATCAGTGTTGCAATATGCACATAATTTCTTTAACAATTAGAAATAACATTTTGTCTTTTATAGTTATTGTCATTACATTTGCTCTCCTGTCCTATGTAAAAATGATAGGTACTCAAATGTTATGAACAACACAGTTCTCATTCTTGGTGGATTTCCCCTTTTAAAAGCAATTTTCCAAATTCAAGCCAATTATGATTCTTTTTCTGTGTAGGAATGGCAGATGGCAGTTGTTCCAGCCCATATTTGATTAGTTTTCATGATTGATTGATTGATTTGCCAAATATGTTCAAGAAAAATGGTTATGTCTATACAATTGTGAAAAATGCACATAACAATGCCCTATACTTCAGATGTTTAAATTCCTAGTTTTGTCCAACCATGTCAAAAAACATATTCTAGTGATAAATGAGAAAAGCATAAACTAACTTGTAGCCTTAAAATACTTATATGATTTATTGGTTATAAAAATAGTTGCCAAAGTCATTGCTCTACTGGCATGCAATACAGATGCAGACTGTACGATATGGTCTATAAGCATGACTACACGTGGCAGGTACAGTACATGGTTAAGAATATATGATAATGGTTGTGTAGTGTTAAAAAGTAAAAACAAAATGCATTAAAACATCTAGTGAAATAACCAAATTGGCAAGGCCTAAATTATTAGTTTAGGCCCCCAATAGTGGACATTTCTCATTAAAATCCTGTGTATAAAATGAACAAGGACGCCTGGCCCTGGTATATCAAAGACGAAAATAAATTGTCAACTTTGCATAACAACTTACCATGGTTTGTCAGAAAATGGAAACTCACTCTGAATTAAAGAGGATTTTCTATACTTCATTAATAGCATTCTTGAATGTTAATATCCTATTATTAAATAAATTACAATCTAAAATTGTTTTAATTTTAGCTCCTAATTTGTGTGTAATGAGGGTGGATACATGAAGGACAAAACACTGACCACTGATGGCATGCTTCCTTCCTTGGCCTTGTCCCTTGGCAACAGAAACCCTGCATGGTTCTGAAAAGAGGACATGAGCCTGGGAAACTCTTTTCGGAGAGCCAACGGGAGCTCAGTGCACAGCAGGAACGGAATGTCCGAAAGGGAGGAAAGATACCCCCGCCATCACCGGACGCAAAGCGCTGCCACTACATTGTTGCCATGGAGCTTCCTGTCCCCTGTGCCTACCAATATTTACCCTTTGATGCCCTTGTGAGTGTGACTGTGTTGGATGGAGCAAGCAGGTGCTTTAAGGTCCTAACAATATCTGCCACGATCAAAGACAGACATGTCCGGAGCCACACAAAGATGCAAGTAGAGCTTAGTCTGTTCATCGTTTGATCCATGAAAGGGTCAACTTCTTGATAAATCAAATAATAATTTGTATAGTTTTAACTTCATTCACTACTTCAATATTTTCAAAGTTGCTTTGTCATTTAAAGACAACAAATATTAATTTACTGAGAAAATAAAGCTTATCAACTAATAATGTGAATAACAAAACACTGAAAGAAAACGTATAAAAAGGATATCTTCCTAGAGCAACATTGCAAGTTATAGAGTACTATTTTGGCCTATATTTTAAGACTTGGGCCTCTTATTGCAAAAGTATTATTGTGAGCATTGTATTGTGCATCATACGGATGTTGGGCGACCATTGCAGAAGTATGGGCAGCTGACACAACAAAAACAAGAAACAACAAAAAACACACAAACAGACGGTGGACTTGAATCTGAGGTTATGTCTTTGAGACTTTAGATCCTGTAATCCATGTTCTGTGGGGTAAAAACTGAAACATGACAGATTACTCGTTGGCTATGGGTCTCTTTTTTTTTCAGAGAAAGACTATGGCATCAATGATGCCCTAGTTTTCCACTACCACTTGACAGATAGTCTATTTGAGCTCCTAAAACAATATCAATCAAGTTTAAATGTTGCACCAATTACATCCATAAAAAGCATTTGGGCCATTATGCATAATTTATACGTTATACAGTATTTTGGTGCTAATACTCTAATTCCTTTGCATTAGTTACTCCAGCCCTGTTTAACACTGCAATTGACAGTTTAGCACAGCAATATAAAAGAAGGTGTGTGTGGATTTCTGCCTGCAACACCAAGCTGCGTTAAGCTGCTCACGTGACGTGCATGACGCTAGTCGAGATGACGAAGATGGCTATTGGACCAAACAAGAGAGAGCTGTCATCTCAATGTAGAGCCAGCCCTACATGATAAAGATAGTGATCATGATAATACTAATAATCAGGATAGAAGGGACAGCACATACAAATGCCAACTATAACCCTATAGGCTATGCGTAAAAAATAAAACACCTGTCCTCTATTAATCGATTTGCAGTTGGAGTGCTCTGTGCCTTTAACTGGTGTCCTGAAATGCCGCTCCATCAGCTGATAGAAAAATCCAGCTGAAATCAAAGCGGCAACCTTCACACTGATAATTAAATCTAGTCCAGGCGATGACATTTATTATAATAATTGAGTAACAGAAGCGATCGTTATTGACAGAACCAGACTGCAATATTTAATGTGTAAAAAAAAATCGACATCCGCTACACACAAAAAAACACATGATGTCATTAATTATGCTCTTGTGCAAAAAAATAGAGGCCTTGAATTTGGGTTATAAGATGAATTTCTCTCATAAATTGAGAATGTAATAACCCCTCCGAGCAGAGATGCACAATGGTGGGAGGGAGTGGTGTGCATTTACAGAGGCAGCTGATATTATGTAACATCCACACACACACATCATGATGCTTCTATACCTGGTTAGGGATGCAAGATACAGCACGTCTCACGAATCACGTATAATAGCCTACATATAATAAACGGATTACTTTACCTTTCAGAGAGCTTTCTACCATTCTCCCAGGAGATGCGTCTTGTGCCGTGGTGGAGATGCGCTTTGAACCCCGACTCCTCTCACACACACACACACACAAACACCGACCTTTGATTTGTCATTCGCTGCCAGTCAAAGGTCAACGCGTTAAATGTCCTGGGAGACGCACAGTCCTGCAGGGATTCCCCGGTATCTCCCGAATAAGCTGTCAGTACATTTACAGAGCATGCGCTACGGCTACGGCATCATCATAAATCACATTTTGGCATATGAGCAACAAACTGGGTCCAGCGATGGCGATTGGTAGATCTGTAGATGATGTGGATGAGCGTTGCAGTGCAAGGTAGTGTGGATGGACAGCAGAAAGTGCGCCGCTCAGCGAGACAGCTTGGTAAAACCTAGGATGGAGCTAAACAACGAGCTGAATGCAATGACCGATCTATTTATCTGTTTACCTTTAGAAAACGATAGTCTAAAAAACAACACTGGTGATATTCACTAACATGTCGAACCTTTTTTTTTATTATTATTATGCTCACAAAACGGCTGATCACTACCAGTAGAGGTCCCCATAACAACAAAGATAGGTGACTAAATAAACAACTACAATGCAATACTGTGCAGCATTACAGGTTTTGGACACACTAAGAGCAAAATGATGGTCCACGTATGAACATACAGTAGGCTATTATAGTGCTGTGTCACGGTAAACACATCAGATGAGACTAATCCGTGAGAATCTGAAACGATTTAGATAGAGCTCTACGTCAGAAGTGATCTAAATGGGGTTTATTTACAGATCTGAGAGTATTGGACACGAAAGGAGATGTACAGTTGGACAGTAGTCATATCTCGAACGCGTGTTTGTTGTTATACCTTCATTAAATCCACCCTTTTAGGTTTAATATGCAAATTAGTGCACCCACCTGCTGCTTCCTGTTTTGCTCACTTGATAGGAAAGACCAGAGAGCAAGAAGGGAGGGGCAAAGCCTTTTCTTAGTGGGAAAAAAAGTTTTTTGTAGTTTCAACCAGGAAGGACAGTATTCAAAATGTAAACTTGACATGTCTAAAAAAAAAGAAACTGCTATTTAATTTTCAAAACACTCAGCACACAGCTTTGTAATACTTAAGGTTCAACTTGTGGTTACATGCCCACTTGCTATGATCCATTGTTCACACTGAGTATTACATCCTGAAAGCAACTACAAAGACCCAACTTAATTAGTATGGATCATCTGACTAACAGTGCCAAAAATGAGGATACAGTAAAGGACAGAAGATTAATGATGTTGTATACAATTAGCTACAAGTACATGATTATGTAAGCCAACTGTGCACACAGACACATATGACAGCAGATTTGAGGACATATTTTTATTGTTTTTTAAGAATGTAACATGTTAGGACAGCAAGGTTTGAAAATATGAAAGAAAAAAAGCCCTTAATCCATATTACACAACAGCACTGGGGTGTGGTTGCACAAAATATTTTTACAGCTCCCCCTCACAAACCAAAACACTGACTGGCATGTTGAGCCATCCCAGCTTTATCAAAGACATCTTTCTAACTCAAGCTAAATATTTGTATCTTGTATCTTTGGTATGCCACAGCAAATGTTTTCAACCTACTTGCAACACCGACTATTTTCAGACCCTCAAAAAACGCCACCAAAAAACATTGATAAAAGGCAACATTCACCTAAAAAAACATGATAAAGATGTGTATCTGCATGCGATAGGTTGCTGCATTGGTGAATGTGGCTTCATAATTAATTCAGTTGTTCATTTCTGTCTAAAAAAATAACTAATTCTACAAAGCCAACATTTTACATGTTCCCTACCCTGCAACAGTGATGTATACATTCAAACAATCTGAAAAGTAAAATCTTTACACACGTGATGCTTCCCAAAAAGTGACCATCTTTAAGTTGAACTGCCACTGCAAAACATAACATTTTCTGAACCACTATCTGACATTTTGATGAATTAAATCTCAAGGCAACCACATGTTTAACGAAATGTAACAGCATTAGGGGTTCTCTTTATTCTGTGCATTGGTCTTCATCCCAGCCACAGAGTGTGACGTTGAGTGCTTCTTGAATATTGGACAGGTCCAGCACCAGCCCAGTAGATTGTCCTGCATCTTATCAACTGCAGAGTGCATACTATTCTGCAGCATTTCAGTACAAAAGTAAGAATAGAATAGCAGTTTATACAGTACACATTTTTCACGTATATTCTAGAAATACTGTGCGGATCAAGCCAAACAATGAGCCATGGCTTTGCAGGATTATTGCATATCTTACAGCTTATTTCACACTCCGAACCTTTTTAGTCCAAATTGATTCATTTAATTTCCGTGTAAAATTGGCTTTTGATACAACACTATGTATATGTGACAGTGACTATGTATCAGTGAGTCAATTCAATCAAGTTGAGATTTTATTTATTTATTTTTAAAGTCATTTTGTGATGTGTATACATATACATGATACTAAAACTCCTAAGTCACTTGCCTTTGGAAAATAAGTTTTGGAGGGTTCCACACCAAAATTATGATAATCAAAGAGGCGACAATATGATATTGTTTGCCTGATTATTAAACGTTTGTTTAACGTGTAATTATTCAAATGTGGAACGAGAACAGATTATTTATAAGTAATATTCCATTTGTTTGCCATCATTAAAGTTTGCAAATGTTCATAATCAATTTTAGTGTTCACTATCACATATTTAATGTCGGACTGTGATATGTTGGTCCGTATTTCAATATTCTACCATACTCCTCTATTGTTGAAGATACAATCTTGAAACTGGGGAGCTTTAGTGAAGGGAATCCTTCTCTTCTAAATCTTTGAACTGTTTTATTTCTCTCTTAACCTTTAGTGTCACCACAGCTACCCTTTATTTTAGTTCAATGTGTATTGATGCATATTGCCTTGAAATATTTGAACATTCAGCTATGATGCAGACAATCAACCCAATCAATAAAGCTCTAAAATACTTTAATTTAAGAGAAAAAAAAACTGTCGTTTAAATCACAACATATTGGATAACTACAGTTTTGATCAGAGTCCTTATCCGCCTCTAAACCTCAAAATAAAGGAACCTGAAATCTGAGGCCAGCTTGTTGAAACATCACATATCTTCCTGTGGCGGCCTCTTCATGTTTCCCCCTGTTCTCCTTTCATTCATGGGGGTGTCTGGGTCTGGAAGGCACCTGACGGCTGTATGTGCATCTTGGCGCTGAGGAGGGAGTTGATATAAGGCCAAATCTTGTCTGTCTCTGTACCGGAAACGGCGTGAAGGATTCCCTGTGACCTGAGCAAGAAATGACAGAACAAATAAAAAGGAAGGATGTGTAAAATTCAAATATTGATTAAATGAAAGGCAGACTATGGTTTATTTGTCTATATATTTTTAAGACAATCCAAAATGTTTAATTGTATTTTAAGTTATAAAATAGGAAACTATTGATCAAAAAACATACAAGACTTCATAGTTGACTGCTGACTAAAATAGTTTGGATAAACTACCAAATTCACACGATCCATTTCATGACCTCCATGTTTTGTTTTTGTTTGGTTTTGATTGCCCATGTGCAGCATCTGACTGCATGTAGGTATTTCACTGCTAAAAAGAGTTTAGTATATACTGACTTGTATAAATCCATGACAGGCTTGGCCACATCTTTGTAGTATCTCAGTCTGCTCAGCAGGGCTTCAGGTTTGTCGTCATCGTGCTGAATGAGGGCCTCCCCGGTGACGTCATCCTTACCCTGAGATATGTAACACAAGGTTCAACAATACAACAAAGGCAAACTCAAGATCTCTCAAAATCTTACAGCATATGAGATTGGACAGTGCAATCACACTGTACAGTAGGTAGACACATGCAGTTCCTACATTCACATCTGTATCAATACCACAATCCTTTGGGTAAATGTATTATAAAGATATCAAGTACATAAGGTCATTATTGGCAATGGAATTTCTCCAGGTTGCTTCCTGTGCCTTGAACTTTCCAGCCATTGTTTAATGCAAACAAGAGGTACTATTGCGTAACTGTAATATCTAGGTTTCAAATTCCTTCCTTTTTTATCCTCATCCTGTTTCATTTCTGCATTCTGTTTAAAAAAACAAAACTACAGCAAAACAACTTTATCACGTGCCATATCTTCTGTAGTGAGGCAATCATTGGAAAACAAGTTGTATACAACCTATGACATTTGCTGTCAGGGCTCTGAAATCTGACATGTAAAAGTTTTAGCTTTCAGACTTCACTAACAATACTGTATTATCTAGAAAATATCCCCTTCAGAATTGTTTTAATATTTATATAAACACTTTAACACAATAAAAATGCAGGATTTTTATGAATGTTTGACATGGTGTTGTTAGTATATTTATTGTTCTTTAGTTATAATGTATGTGATGAACTCTGTTAACTTGTTTTATAGGTCATAAAAGATGATATCTAGAGATTTGAGTAAAGAAAAGTAACAATACGAAATATTCAACTGAGTGAACGTGACAAGAAACTTGTGAAGTTAAATAACAAACAGCAGGAGTGTAGATGTTGTTGTGTATGATTGTGGTGTAGTTAATTAGGATATTGTACTTCAACTGGTTTCAATCTCTAAATTCGACAAGCTTCCACCCTGCTGAAGCCCAGCATTCATTCCAATCAGCTTCAAAACACACCGAAACAAATCCTGTGGTGAAGTAAATCAGAGCAGAATATTTGAAGCACTGTGACACTTGTTGAGACCTTCACTTGTGGCGGGTTAAAGCCCAAGTTGTAGACTCGGCCACTGGCTGCATGCACCCAGCGGTCGCTCAGTCTCTCCCTCAGAGTCTCGTAGGGGATGTTCAGGCTGATGACCAGGTCCAGCTGGCACAAACTGTTCAGGGCTCGGGCCTGGGACAGAGTCCGGGGAAAACCTACACAGAGTACGAAGGACGAACAGGGAAGGTGAGAGACTAGGAAAGGTTTGCTGATATATGACCTTTAATTTCCACAACATTTAAGATTTACAGGGTATGTTTGTTTTTGAAGTTGTGATTGTCATTGTGAGTCACTAACTTCAGGAATAACCGGCCCTGTCACAGTTATGTACAGTTAATTTCCTGTTCCAATGATTGCTAATAAATAAGCTGACAGCAACTAAACTTTGATGAAAGTTCATTGACATTGTCTGTAGCCATGATACAATAACCAAATTGTGTGCATGTGAATGAACTTACTGTAGAGTAACAATGCGCTCAGTTACATAACGTGTATGAACCATAACCAGCAATAACAAGACAAGAGTCAACAGAGCTGTGCAAAAATAAAGTGGTGCTTTGAGCTAAATGTGAACAAATGTTGATGTTTAGCAGGTAATGTTTACCCGTTTTAGCTTGTTGGGGATTTGGTCATAAAAAAAAAGGTGTTGGACAGATGGAAAGTTTGACCTAATAGTAGTGCTAGTGAAAAAGTCAGTATGTCACCAATGTTATTACAATTCATGAATGTATGTACCTAATAAGACTCTTTTCCAAGGAGGCATTTTCAGTTGCTAAAGCAGGAAAAACACAGGTGAAATGAATCGCATTAATAAAGGATGCATTCCATTTAGGTTAGCCAGTTTCAGGTTTCTGGTATTGTGCATGCTGATTCACGGACATGGCTTGCTACTGCACTTAATAGAATGGCGCCATTATTATGTGATTAATGTCACCAGACTTGTATTGACATATAGCCTTTCAAATCCACTGCATGCCCTCAGGGCTTCATCTCTAAACGCCAATTTTACCGTCCACACACACACCTTCATACACTGATGGCAGAGCATGCCATATTGCTCATCAGAGATCTCATTCTCACACAAAATCTCAAAACCTTTCCCAAGTGCACTTGAACATACGGACTGTCTGGAGGAGGCTGGAAATGAACCGCCAATCTTACAATAAGTGGACGACCCAGGAATAGGACACAAATTACAATATTTCCAGTTATTAGTTCAGGGAAAACTTTGACCATGGGTAAAGGTAATCCTTCAAATAGTTGCTGCTGTGATGCAAGAACAATTTCAGACTATATTTTACAATAAAGTATTACCATATCATAGTTGTGATAACATATCTGGACCAACAGAACAACATTTCCATCCCTAGATCCTCAATGCTGGTTTGAATAAAAATAGTATTAAGTGTATAAAAGCAGAATAAGAAATAGAATATTTTAGCATTACTGTATGTCTACTTTTGTTATAAAACGTGTAGATTACACTAGGAATGAGATTACATTGCTATGATCTCTATGGGGAAATTCAGCACCAGAGATGTTGGCTGGAATTCAAGGTCTTGCTCAAGGATCAATCTGCATGGTTGGTGTTGACATGGCATGCTTACTGTAAATATAGGTCATTTAGTTTTAAGGTCACTTTTTCTCTCTTGTTTTTTGCTTTTAGTATGCTTTGGTATAAATATGTTTGGGTTTTTCTTCTGTTTATTGCTTCCTTATGTGGTAGAGTGGAAACTGGCAATCGCTGTGTATGTTCCATTGTTTGGTCAATAACTAGCTGTTAAATATCTCTCTAACCACCGGAGCATCATGCTGCTCACAAATGATTTACTCGGAGGCCCCAATTAAAAAGTAACATGCATAAATGTGTCCATGTTAGTTTGTTGGGCAGCATGGGGTTTATCTCAGTCTATTTGAAACTGAAATAAATGCAGGCCTTTGCATGTGTGTGAGTGTGTGGTGTGTGTGTGTGGTGGGAGGGGGGGGGGATTTGTTTGCCCTTCTCTTTTGCCGAAAACAAGTATCTGTTTGCTGTTCATGTTTCAAGGTTAAAAACACAAAATAGTTTCATCAATGTTTGGCATCTCACTTGGAGATAGAGGGTAATATTTAACATGAACAAGACAATGATCCGCTAAGTTTGTCATCATCTATGTTACTAATGCTCAACCTAAATGTTATCAGATAACAAGAAGAAACATTTCCTATTCATTTGTGAGCTAACACACTTCTGAGGCAATTTCATCAATACTTGTTTTGTTTGTATAAACATTGCAAAAAAGTGTAGTATTATACTACAAACAAGTATTACATATCACATACACAAGAATTGACAAAAGAAAAACCTGTTTTTTTATTGACTGACTAATGTCACTTGGCACTGAATGCGATTCAATTATAACATTTCGAAACTAGGAATAAAGCTCAGGAAAGCATTTGCATCCTCCTGATAATGACGATGATCTTGTATCTTTTATTTGAATCTGATGCAAATCTGATGACTAATGTAAATTGAATAACAGTGTAATACCGCATGCAGGGACCTGCTGATACTGGAGTCAGTACCTCGGGGTACTAATCACCCACAGATGTAGGATAATTTTTCCACTTACTTACTCCTCAGAGTAAAGGAGCAATACATTTGGCACCTTTAGGGGGCATGTTTCTAAGCATTCAGAGGGGTAGAAACTGCTTGCCTGAGCCGCTTTATTATATTATACTGCTTCAGAGCTGGGCTGAAGAGAGAACAGGAGCTTTCTGCCATGTTATTTCTTCATTTATTTATTTAAAACTATGTTGCCGTTCACACAGCGCTTGAAAGGATATTCTTAGTTCTACAGTTTAAGTGAGCTCACATGTTTATCAATCCAGGGATTATGTGGGTGGCACATGGGGAAGCCAATCAGATTTAAGGAGTGGCTGACAGTTATTACTAACCACAATGCTGCATCAAGGAAGAATGTATCCCTCACTACCAATGATCAAGGCAAAGGATGGACGCTGCTATATTATAAATCATGCTAGTGTCATATAACGCATCAGTGGAATATAGTACAAACAATGCACTCTGAGTGTTTAATAACTTAAAAACTATTTCATACCGTCCAGCAGCCAGCTTTGGCTAATCAGCTGTTCCAGTCTGGGCAGCATCAGTCCGGTCATCACATGGTCAGGCACCATCATGCTTCTTTCTACATAGGTCCTCACCAGCACACCTGCCTCTGATACACAATACACAGGTAAAGATGCTTCCAGCTGCTGAATTTCAAGAACAAGCCAGGACAGGGCCTGTTGAATATACCCACGCCATGATAACAAAACAAAAAAAAACACTTGGTAAGGCACTTATCTGGATAAAACTCTCACTGCAAACTCCAGACTGTAACATTGTGCATCTGTGGATTATTTAAACAAACACACATTTTGAACTAATATTTTAAAAATCCTAATACTATTAAAAGCAAAAAGGCTTTGTTAATGACACAGCAAGTCACAACTTTAAGGAAACGTTTCAGTGATGGCAACAACGCAGCACACAAGTTTTGAAGCAAGCCCTCTGCACTGGATTCTAATTTAGTAATCAGTGAACATGGGCTTTGCACATGCTTGGAATTGAATTATCCCAGTTGGGAGGCTATAATAAGGACGTTTAAAGAGACACAACCAATGGTTTAAAGTGCATGGTTGGGTGAGTTATTGTGATAAAACATGGATGAGTGTTTAACTGGAGTCAATACTGAGTCATTGTGGGTGTTGGGCATTTCACCAAGTTAGGTCTCTGAACTCAATACAAATCAGAAAAAGAAAAAACAAGTTTGTATTCATCCAAATGCACCGTGTTTTAGCTTGGATTGTAAAGGTAATTTGTCAAATGAGCTTCTAGGAAACAACTGTGGAAACTGCGCACGTAAGGATAAAGATTCACACGCAGCATAAAAACACAGACTTCCCTTGTTCCTGTTGACACACCAGTATGGGCAGCAGTTAACTTGCAGAAGCATCATACCTGTATTTGCCGCTATGCTTTCTCGGAGATAGTGGCCACTGGAAAGATATTGCAGGTCAAAGCTTTGCGCAATCCTCTTGCATATCGTTCCTTTCCCTGATCCTGGAGGACCCATGATAGCAGCTCGGAATAACTTGGCCATGTCTTCCTGTGTAACTGTAAAACCTCTGGGATGCTCAAATGTTAGGTTGTCCTTTGCGTGTAAAAAGAAGGAAGTAAACCTCCTAATTAAAAAAAGATGAGGGCATGAGCGATCAAACTGGTCAAAAGCCTGGTGTGCTTCTAAACTTGTCTTGCCAACATAAACTTCACCGTGTCTCTTTACCCTGCGGTTATTTGCTGTTAAACACTAAATGCGCACATTGGATCTATCCTGCTCGGATCAAGTCAAAACGCCCTTTTCCTTTTTTCTTGCAGGTCATTTAAGGATACATTACACCCGCCTACGTCTTCATGGAGAGAGACTTTTGTCTGCGAATGAATGGGGGAGTCTCCCCTACGCCCTATTTTTCTGCGCACATCATCCAGTAAAAATGCGGATGACTGATTCGCAGGAACTGCCGGGTAAACTGGTTACTGTAGTTTTTAAAGAATTTCCAAGTAATGTACATCAACAACAACAACGACAACCGCGAAAATATAATAATCCTTGACATAGGTTACAAGGAACTTGAAGTGCAGAGAATGCTGTCTAAAATAATAAGATATACGACGAGGACGAGAAGAAGACGTTTTTTTTAGGCTACTCCTAATTAGAAAGAAATGTATGTTTTCTACAACATAACAGCAAAAACACACACAATAGAATAAATAAAAATAAAAACTGCATTGCCAATTCATTTCACTGCAACATATAGCCTAACCAGTTTATCAGAAAGGGAGTGCATTTATGTGCAGAAGGTTGAGACCAATATTATGTCTAGCCTTTTTGTTTGGGAAGCCTTATTTCAAGTTATTTTGATCCGCTATTGCAATTGGGAATTCAGATAATGACAACTTTAATGCATTTTCCAGCTTATAACAAAGATTTTATAGACAAACTACCTTGCCACTTATTTATTACAAGTCAGAAAAAAGTGCACGACAGTCAATGTCACACATCCCTAACATTATTTATTTCACAATGTAAATATTAAATATATTATGTCCCGTAATGTCCCACCACACAATAAAGATCTGCAATAAATAAATTACAAAAGTTACTTATATATATATATATATATATATATAAAGTGGGTTATTCTTGGATTTCACCACTTGTTGACAGTATTTCTCTAAAATCAGAGCCTTATTTGTTAATTATTAAGGTTCATGGGGTTCTTATTTGTCAAAGTTTCCAATGCTGGCAGCGGTTGCAGAAAAGCACATGAGTCGTTGTCATTCCGCGCAACATTTGCCGACGGGCGGATACTTGTTGCGAGCCATATCGGAGCTGTCAGATGTTGCGCACAGCCTTCAGTCTACTGTCAGACTACCCAGACTAATCCAGCAGACAAACAACTCGGAAGATTAACCTATTTGAGCCTCGAGATTAGAGAAACTAGTTTTCGTCTTCAGACCCGGAAGCCTGCTTTTAATTACAAGATCTTTTCTTTTTGTCACATGGCTTTGGAGAATTCAAAACAACAAAAAATGGCGACACTCACGTTGCACTGTGTGGTCTTGCTGCGTCATAAAAAATATTCATGTAAACACGAGGAGTTAAAAGGGAAAATGTCAGGTAAGTGAGTCAAATGTATGTTATATATTTAATGTGTACTGGATGTAATACAAAAAAATTGATTTTATTGGAATTTTACAGCATGCATGTTTTTGGCCAGAAAGGGGTGTGAATGCTATGCTGGGCGTTAACGTTTGGCTGCACAACATTCAATACGAACGTTGCACTTATATTTCGCATTGACTCGCGTTATAATGAATCCTAGGTAAAGCAGGTAGGCTTGTTTATATGATATAACATTAATAACGGTTTTGTTTGGATTTCGACAACTTTTGTTTATTTGTACAAAACAGCAACAAAGCGCTTAATTAAGTCCTCGCTCTTGTCGTCAAACAGTAGTTGTCTACCATAGCCTTTTGTCAGAATCACTGCGTGTTACCTTTACGGTTAGCAGTTTACAAGCCATTCCTCCGTTATTTACATTGAGGGTTTATGCAATATGGACGCGCTGTCTTCACAGGGTCTCTTGTTACAGGCAAACGGAGCATTCCTCCCTACCAATATGTTTGTCCTCTGCCATGTTTAGTTACTTGCAAATGTTGCTTTGCTTTTTCTGACATGAAAATGTTTTGGCCAGGGCCCTGAGCAGCGGGGATAATGGAGTTGTTTACATGAAGTGCGGAGGGCGGACTGGCGAGGAGGAGGAGACGCTACGTCGGCCAGAGACGCCACCCGACTGCACGAGAGGCTGCTCGCGCGGAGGGGGGCGGAGCCTGCGAGAGGAATCATAACAAGTCTGACGTCACTCGGCCTTGTGGTTGGTATGAATAATATACTGTAGTTTGTCTCGATCCAGTCTTAGCAGGAAAGAGGCTCAGAAAAAAAGTATTCGTACCCCTAGTTATGTTATGAGATGAAACATTAACGAGCCCTCTGTGTACCAGTGGAAACAAAAAAATAATGAAAATATGTTCACTTGGAAATAGTTTGCAAAATAATTGAACACGATAGCATGCTTAATACTTTAAAGCAATCTTTGTCCTCCAAATGTGCAAGTATTGTACATTTTGTTTAAATCACAGGTTCACAGCCAATAGGGCATAGGGTACACATTGCATGTGTCTATTCATAACTGCCCAACCTTTGCAGTTAGAAGTTTCGTCATATAATGAACATCAGAGTCTGTTTTTGAAGTACCAAATGAATTGTTGTGCTAAAAGAACATTTACCACAATAGACCAAATACTTGTGTAAAATACAACCTCATGTATCAGGCCTGATTTAAGGGCAAACAATAGCTTTCTCCATTCACTTGAATGACTCACTGATGAACCAATATCTCTGTTCATAAATAAAGGAATCCTGGATAATCAGGATCATATTATCCTGCATAAAGACTGTTATGTAATGTTCCCATTATCAAACTATGGAGAGTAGTTGTATGTTTTTTACTCTACTTTGCAAAAATGTTTTATAGTGGTATTATTATATCCCCAAACATGATATTGCATTTTTTTTTATATTCTGTGCTGCTGATCACTGATGGGAAGGATATTAATAAAAGCGTTTTTACACACAGAGAAGGATTGTCAGGTTAGATGTTCCTGTGACTCTGTAGACTAATCTGTTCTTATATTAGCTATTGTATGTTAACTGAACAGTATTTATATTGTAAGAATGAAATGATGAAGATACAACACGCGAGGAAACCAAGGACTGCTAGAATAGTCAGGCTTCCCTGGTTCAGTTATCACAGTGCTGATGCTGTCCCCATCGAAGGTACAGTACTGTGATAACTGAAGGATGGCTGCCAACTTGACACAAGTGCAGTTATTCAAACCGCGTGCAGCTAACCAGCCAGAGGACCAATGACCAATGAAGTGTGAGTATGTTAATAAACAGACATATTTGTTTTCATTGTTAAGTATCCAAAAGTACTAAAGTGATTTATTCTAAAAATGTTTTTCCTTATTAAATCTGCCAGTAGACTGTTGAATACTTAATGAAAAGTATTTTATTGTCTTATTTTTAAGTTTAAGAAGCATTATACTCAAAACCTATAAATGCATATTATCTTCACTTTTTATGTAACTTTTGCTTAACTCAAATAAATAAAGTGATGTTTGTTTTCATTAAACCTGTATTTGTTTTATTCATCTCTGCTATTGAATATCCAGTGAATCCTAAACAAACAGAAGGATATGGCCAAAGAACAGTCAACTATTGAGTGGATGTAGGCTCATTCTGATCAGTTTTAACATTACATTAGATACTTTCTGACATCTCTCTCTATAGCATTACCAGCAAAGTTAATTTAGCATTAGTATATATACTGTATGAGCTTCCGTCTCTCGGAGCACTGGTCTGCAGGCTGAAGCAGAAGGTAGACGCAAAATGTTGCTCTACATTGTTGTCAACAGAGGGAGCTAAAGATCTATTAGTCATGTGCTTTGTGGTCTAAATAACATGTCTGCAACTGTGTCATATTTTTCTGAAACTTTATATGTCATCTGACAACTTCAAAAAGTTTTAGTGAATCCAGTCTAATAAAAAAAACATAGCTTTTATTAATTGTTTAATTACTAAGTGAATATATTTCCCCCCTAAGAATAGTTGAACATGATCGAAACAACAATGTATGACTCACATTAATGACAGCTGCTGTCTCCATTTTGTTATAAGTCATTGTTGTTTAAGAGAATCTTATGTTCAATATGTGATATTGGTATAGCACAGATCAAAACACAATTGTTCTGTGATATATGATGTCAACATGCTGAAATGAAACATGTTTTTCATGTTTTGAATAATAAGTGCACTGTTTGAGTCATGTCTGATAAACCACAGGTCACTGCACCTGTCCTTACAATGTTTTCTGTAACGGTATAGCTACTGTGGAAATCCCCAAAGAGTCATGACAAATGTATTGTTTTTGTCCCACTCTAACCTCAATCTGCTTAACTCGACTTGATGCGCATGTTTTTTTCTGACTCACCCTGTGCTATCTTGATCATTTGTGGCAATTCATAACTTGTGTTAATAAAGCATTAAACGTCAAGTGAAGCTAACATTGCTTAAAAGAGGTATAGCTATTTTCTAAGTGAGGTCAGGCATTCAAACCCACTACCTATCAGGGTAGTCAACAAAACCATTGAAAACACCAACTTTATTATGAGAATATAATCTTCTTTTAATGCAAGGGGATAACTATTGACTGGGATGCGGCATGTAAAGTCCCTGTATACCTTAAAACAAACCACCCAGTCTTTTGTTAGAAAGAAATGTTTATATCCTTTTTTTCTTTTGTGACAGTAGGAAGGTTGTTTCCTTTCCTCCACAAGGGTCACAGTCCATGCCTTTACCTGCCCATAAAATACACTTATAGACCTTACATAAATGCTGTACTGATGTGGTTTTGTGCACAGGGGTCCACTAACAGTACTAAAGGATAGGGCTTGACACTGAACACTGCACACAACCTA